TCATTCCCCACAGCCCTGTCATTGATGAGCTGTCTGGGTGATTTCTGTTAGTCCCCTGCAACATGACCTGCAAATGCCAAACACTATCTTTCAGAGTCTCCTTTGGGCAACGCTTTTGGCCCCATGTCAATGGTTTGCCCTTGTATCTTTGTAAACGTTGAAGTCAACCGCAAGTGGGGAGATCCTTCCTAGGTCCCCCAGTAATACCCTTCTCTGCCCTTTCTTGGGGGGAGGGTTCCCCTTCTAAAATAGACTACAGAAAAAAACACCGGGTACCAACTTGTTTCTAACCTCTCTACTGGAGGACCTAGCTTCCATTGCTAGGATAAGCACTTTGTGTAATCCGTTTCAGGAGGTCGGCGCAGATTGACCTAGTCCAGTTTGATGTCGGCGCAATATGGCGCAAGATGCATACTCGCCACTCTGGGTATGCTCCTCTCCCCTTTGGGCGCAGGCAAGGTATTGCAAAGGGCATTGAAGCTGCTGGCCACGTACCAAGCTGATTTTTTTGGGTCTTCAGATATCTGCTTAGTAGATGTTTGAGCAGATTCTTTGCCCATGTGACTCTGTGGGTTTATCTTTTTGAGGGGGCCCGAATTCCTCCAAAAGAAGCGGGTAGTTTTCTTCTCTTTTGGGTTCCCTGCACCCAAACAGAGGCAGCCTCAAAAAAGACATCAATGATAATACTATGGATGGTTGCGAAATCCGCTTCTCGCACCACCGTTCAGAATCCCTGGAACGATCCCTGCACCCGGAGACACAAGTATACAAAACATCCAGATTCTGTGGATGGTTGCGAACTCCATCCATTTCGCACAACCGTTAAGAATTCCTTGAATGATTCGATTCCCCTGCAAATCCCAGCAAACAATGCTTCCCATGGTTTCAAAGTGGTGCGAAATGGATTTCGTCCATCCACAGTATGTTCTTCAATACCCAACGCGAAGCCCGCGCGTCGTCTTTCTCTTTGTCAGGTTGCATATTAGGGAGGGAGCCTGATCCCCCAAATCTTTCAAGTAAATCGGGTTTCAAATTGGGTTTCAATGAGTTCAAGCTGTGCTCGGGGAACAAACACACTGAAGTTTTACATTAAGTGTGGCTCACAGCCGTCAACACCCGGCCCTTTTCATTCTTTACTCTTTACTTGCATTTGATTTCCAGGTTTTGTCTCACATGTGCCCTGGTCAAAAGACCCCCTTTGCCTCCGGGTTAGCAAGGATGGTCATCCTGGCAGTAAGGTTCCTTAATAAGATATCCCTATTAAGATGATTCCTTTTAAGGAATTCCTAGTAAGATGATTCTTGGTCGTAAGGTTCCCTAATTTACAATGAGTCCTACCGTGGATGGACGAAATCCTGCACCACCCCCAGTAAGCTGGAATGATTTCTTTCCCTGTAAGTGTCAACAAAAGGCATGACTTCAACCATGGTTTCATTTCGTGGTGCGAAGTGGAAATCGCAACCATCCACAGCATTTTTCGTGAACCCATCCCATGCCCCAGCCACAGACGGTTTGGGGAGGACAGATGCGGTCAGGAGCGCGACTCCTTCGCCGACTTCGAACCCTCCCGGTGAGCGCTGCTGGGCCGCTCGCCGCTCTCGGCGCCGGCGAAGAAACCCGCCTCGAGCGCCGTGAGTGCAACAAAAAAAAAGTGGCGTCGAAGAAAGCTGCCTGGCTTCCCACGAAAGGCTGAGCTTTGAGTGGGGGAGCGCTATTTTTTTGTGTTTTTTGTTGGGAACCGCCTCTCAAAAGTGGTTGGTGGAGATGAACATATTCACGCCCATTTATACAAGTGCGACACACCGAGTAATTTACAATGAAGTATCCCAAGATCATGAGGCAGATGGATTCAATAGTACCCCCGACGCCGTTGTGACTCTGTTGGCCCTTGTAGCGTTTGTTCATTGTGATGGCTTGAACCAGTTGTTTGGACTTGTCAAACACCGACGGAAGTCATTGCGAGTTAGACAGCATCATAGACAAGCTGTTTGTTGAGGATGATCATGTGTCACCCTTGTTTTGCAATTCAGTCAAAATGGATCATTCCGCCCAGCCGCTTGTTTTCTTTGGTTGCTTGGCAGCATTTCCGCTGATTTCCTTTCTGAGAGACTTTTGGCCTGAGTTATGCACTAGCGTCGTCCCAGGACTAGCAAACCCTTGGTGGAAAACATAGGGAGACTGGCTTGGTTTGGATTGGTCGGGTCAATGGCTGTCGCATTCGCAACTGCGTTCGCACTCCGAAAAAGTAGCTCTGGTTTGTTTGCTTCGGAGTCGTCTACTGGTAGGGGTTGTCCTTTTTTTCAGCGCGTCCTTCTCTTTGGGAGCATCCCAACAATTGAGCCGCAGGGTCCTGGGTTCCCTTGACATCAATTTCGGGTGACTTTGCTTTGGTGGAGTGATGTTAAAATGGAAAAAACTTGCCGGTGCTCAGCAGGGAATGACCGAGGGTGTTGGCAAGACAAAGGGAACCCTGGAGTCAACACACCATCCTATATCGTTGATCGCCTATCGCAGCCCGGATTCGCTCTGCAAGATGGCTCAGGGCTAAACCGCTCTTGCTCAGCTGCTTTGCACGAAGCAACACGTTTTTGTTTTTTGATTTGGGTCACCTCGCCCGCCCATTCCTTTGTGTGGAATCCGCTTTGGCAACCGCCTCTCTGTGGTTGCCCCTTGGTTCCCCGTGGTTCGCTGTGGCAAAAGGACTGAAGTTTCGGCTTCTTTCATGGGGCATCTGCACGCCATGAGCGGGAGGCTGATCGGCTGATCCTGGTGAGCGGCTCGGCAGATCGGATCTCTGGCTCTAGGACATGTCGAGGCTCACGCTTGGTGGCTCAACCGGAAAACATCCGGTTCCTTGGTCTTTTCCGGGCTTTTTTCTTGGCTTTTTGAGTTGTTTTTGGGGGTTTTAAAGGTTTTTTTTTGGTGTGAGTTTGTTACGGCTTTTAAGTTTATGTTGTTTTTTTGTGGCAGTTTTCCGCATTTATCCCGGTAGAAGTTATTGTTGGGAGTGGGATGTCACCTTAGGACACAGCAGGGTATGATGATACGGGTGGCTCGTCTTTGAGGATATCCTTGTTGTTTTGGTCTAAATGGCAACCAGGCTCTGTCTTTTGAGGGTGCCCCCTTTTTTTTGGGGGGGGGGCTGGACAAAAACCAAAGGAAAGAACCACCACCATTTTGGAGGGTCCAACTCTCGGTTGGCTGGCTTGCGTCGGATGTCACGCAGACGACCGTCGCGTCAGGCGGCCCCCTCAGGGCTCGGGGGAAGCCTTCGATGGCCCCGCTGCTCGGGCGCCCGACTGGGGCGAACTTTCCTGGGACCACGAGGCTTTTGGATGTGCCAAGGGGATTACGATGTTGAGACCAGAGGTGTCCTTCTTAGGCCAGTGTGGTCAAGAATAGAAGGCGCTGGTTGAGACGGGTTTGATGTATTTTCTCCAGGGAAGCCCATCTATTTTTCCAAAAGGGCGGCCCTATGTTTGAGACACTCCCACGATTTCGGCCCCAATTTCTCGATGAGATTTTCGAGGAAAAGGAGCCAGTCGCAGTTTTTGCCACTGGGCCAGCTGAGGACGTGAGTTCAAGTCGCACGCATCCAAGCCGGGAGGTTGGGAGCCAGGTCTGGGGAGTTGGATTTGAAGGGGTCCAACTGGTTCTTGTACAGGGTAAATGGCAAACCAAGCCAGGCCGGTAAAAAACGACGCTTTTGAGGGTTTCACTTTCAGTGGGGCTCCTTTCGGCTGGGCCCCAAATTGGTTCGCAAGGGGTTTTTGCGTTTGGCTTCCCTTCAAACCAGCTGGGCGTGGAACTTTTCTGGGGCTTGCCTCCTTTTGGTCGTTGGAAAGGGAAACGAAGAGGGAAGCCAAGGTCCACTTTGATTTCAGCAAGGGACGCCCGGGCCCTGTTTTCCCAGTGAAGGTTTGTTTGCTTTTTCTGGCTTTTCCAGTCGTGCGCGCTTTCCATGTATTCATTTCAAAGCTAATGCTTAGATGGTGCAAATTGGCACTTGTCTTATTCCATCATTTGTCAGGCCTATCTACTGGGTTCCAGTGATCCTGAGCCGAGTCTGTAAACGGCCCATCGATTGCATCGCTGGAGAGGAGATGTTTTTTATTTATCATCTTCCCCTGGCAGGTATCCGCAAAAGTCAGAGCCTCTTGCAATCAGGACGGGAATTCCAACTTGTCCCTTTCAAGAATTGAGCCACAATCAAAACCCGGGTAGATGAAGGTTAGTAAGGGACAATCCCAGCCAGAAATAGTTGCGGCCGCCTTCTTAATTCCTTACATGGTTCTGGGTCAACCATTTCACTACCGGGTTTTGATTGTGACTCAATTGAGGTGCCTATCACATTGAAAGACAAGTCTCTCACCGGCGAAAGGGGCGATGGCTTCGATTCCTTTCGCCGCCGCCAAATTGCGGCTTTCGGGAAGCCCAAGCTGGGAAATGAGCTACTGTGGATGGACGAAATCCTGCACCACCCAAGAAGCCCTGGAATGATGATTCCCTAATACCAACAAACATAGGTTTTCCATGGTTTCCAAGTGGTGCAGGATTTCGTCCATCCACAGTATCACTCGAGTCAGGTATCGATTATCAAGGCTTTGGTATCCCCGGGAAGGGATTCTGTTTTTTGCCAAGGCCCTTGGTCCTTTGTCATCGGCAACCAAGTTTGACCATGTTCTGTCCCTGCCTCCTTGACCCAGTTGTCCAGCGCCCCTTCCTTTCTTTGGGAGTTCCGATTCCTTTAGCTCAACCATCTAGAAAAGAGCACTCACTCCAATTGGGAGGGGTGGGGTCTTGAGCAATGTGGCGGAACTATGAAAAAGAGGACAGCCTTTGTTTCCCATGGAAATCCACTGGGCATCTGAGCTGATAGCCGAGATGTTGTGTCTTAAGTCAGGTGGAACCCCCCCCAAAACGCCTGCCAACGTTCCCAAACTGTCACCCTCTTCTTGTCTGCTGGGTTGGATCTTTAGACTTTCACTTTTCCCACCAAAGCCCCAAACAGTTGAACTTCTTGCCAAGGGGTCCACAGCAACCAAGCCTTGTGGCCTCTTTGCCAACACCTGGGTCTACCGCACCGGGCCGAGCTTTTGCCGGGAGAACTTTGTGGGCTCGGGTTCCATTCGGGATGTGATGAAAGTGGGGGTTGATCAAAGTGGGGGGTGATGAAAATTCCCATCGGCCCCAGTTTTGACCATGGGTAGCTTTGCAGCTTTCCAACATTTTAGTTGTAGATATCGTATCTTTTCAGCGGGCGATCCCCAATGGTCATCCCATGTTTCTGTCATGGGGGCTGGGGGTGGAGGGAGGGGAGGGGGAGGGAGCCGAACTAAGCCCTTATTAAGCCCTCAATAACGCCTTATTCGAGGCTTACTACAATGTTGTTGGCATTTACAGGGGGAGTCTAATCATTCCAGGGTTTCTCAAGTGGTGCGAAATGGGTTTCGTCCGTACATGGGTATTGCAATGTATCATGACCTTCGGCGGTTTTTTTCCGGCCGATTTTGTGGCCTCGAGCATTTTTCTGCAACGGGAATCGATTTTGCTGCACCTTGCCCCTCCCGCGGAAGATGAAGACCCTCAGAGCCACGTTGCGATGGCAGACAGAACTACCCTTGAGGAACTTGATCTTCCAGGAGCGATTCCTCTGCCTGCTGTTCGTGGGAGGGGAACCGCCAAAACTGGGGGGTTGATGAAAAGCTCCTTTTGCATGAGCATTAGGTCAGAAAGCAGCAGAGCAACGAGGATGATTTATATGGCTGTGGGTCAAAACCAATGGTACCATTTTGGGGTAGGTGCACCAAATCTAATCTATTTTAGGTGGGGATAGGGATGTTCACTGGGGGTAGGGGATTTTGACCCATGGCCATATTTAAACATGGGACAAGTGGGACCCGTTTCCAATGGGTCATTTGCCCGAAGGGAATATCGATCAACCCCCCGTGCCCAGCTTGCGCGACGGAAGGCTTGTCACCTCGATGCCTCAAGAGGGAAGGCGGCTTGGGGGTGTTTCGAGGCCGTCAGGAGAGTCGTAGTCAAAACCCGGGGGTAAGTGAAGGTCGGTAAGTGACGGCCCCAACCATGTCCCTGGGTGAAATGTGGGGAATCAGACCACTGTGGGAGGGGAACGGGTTCCCCCCTATGAAAATATACTGGGGTTGATTAATAATTATGGGGTCAACATAAGGGAAAGTCCCAGCCAGGATTTGGTGGGCCCCCCTTTGTATTGGCACTGATTTGGATACATCATTTTGATACCAGGAGTCGATTGTGACTCAGGAGGGGGTCCCCATTTTTCCAAGGGGAAGGGGGGGCGAATGAGCCCAAGTTGCAAACCCAACTAGTTTTGTTTTCTTGGCTTAGGGGGAACCAAAAGTTGAAATCGCCTGGATGGTAAAGGTGGGGTTGTCTCAAGCTCTTGAGCCGGTTTTTTCCCAATGGGAAAGGGTTTCTTGTTGGCTCCCCTTTTTACATTCCAAAAGAAAGTCCGCCCATGTGGCTGTGGCTCCAAAAATTCCGGAATTCCAAAATGGGTAACCCCTGGTAAGTGGAAACATAGGTACCGAAACCTGCGGTCTGCCCCGATCGTTTCATTTTGAGCCACACCCATGTCCCGGCCGGCCGGAGGAAAGATCCAAGAACTGGGGATCGATTGAGCCGCTTCTTTCGGAGTTCGGGGGCGCCGAACTGGGGGTTGATCAATATTCCATGGGCCCCCAAATGACCAAGGGAGTGACTTCTAATCCCTTTTTGGAAAGGAGAAACAACTTGCGTTTCAGTCCATCCCATGTCAGGACCTTTGGATCAAATCCGTGACTGGTACTCACAAGCTCCCGCCTTCTGGAGTCGTTTGGTGTTTGGGGCCGAAGACTGCGATTGCTGCATTTTCCAGGTCGCCTTGTGACCTGTTGGGATACAAACCGTTTTGCGGTCCTTGGTCGAGGGCCAGTCCGTTTTGAGGTCGAAGCCAATGCCACGAGGGTGAACAATGACGAGCTTCACAAACCCAGGAACCTGCAACCGCCAGCTAGAAATGGGCCATTTTTCAATGAATCGACCTATGAATAGACCGACCCACCATTTCCTCTTTGTTGTTGTTTACCAAACAGCCATTTCTATGAATAGACCTTCTTGATGGACAATACGGCAGTTTGAACCAGCACCCCCCAATTGCCGGCACATCGATTTTGGGCAAAACGATGTCACTTTATGTCTAAGTGACTGCAAAAGCAATTTGCTGTTAAGTATCAAGCATCTGTACTTAGTGCAATTTGTGCAATGATACAAGTGACCTTTCAGGGTTCTTTGGAATGGGGTTGCAGGGGAAAGGGGAGAGCAGCAAATTTGAGGTTTGGAGGGCAAGTTTGAGGTTGGGAGGGGTTCTTGAGGAGCGTGTCACGGCGTGTCACGGCGTGTTGGGGGGTGGCCAATTGCCGACACATGTACGTTGAACGGTCACTTTTTGGGATATATGAGCGTATCTATGTGACTACAAAACCATTTTTAAGCAAGTGCTGGTCAATTGCCGGCACTTCACCCGGGACGCCAAATACCGGGCATCGGGGGGCTGGAAGTTGAAACCACCATTTGTAAATGATTGCTTCAGGCTTCATCAATCTCCAAAATACGCCCAAACATCTCATTGGGTGAGAAGGGTGGATTAGAGGGTTAGAGGGCTGAATTATGAAAACACCCCGGAACCCAAAGTTCATCAGATCATCGCCATGTTGGTTGAAGCAAAGTTGAATGGGTTTCGAGCGCTGCTCATTTGTTTTAAGAGTTTGCCGGTGCTGTCCTCAGTTGCATAGACTCTTTTTCGAGGCGTGCACAAACATGGTTGGCTGGCCAAATGGGAAGTGTAGTGACCCCAAGGGCCCAAAAGCCGAGACCTGGATTGACACATGGGATCCTCTTGGTTCGAGGCAAGGAGTGCGGATCGACTGGGCTCAAGGGAGACGCCAAGCCTCGACTTTTGATTTGGAAAGTGAAGCTTCGGGTTCGGAACTCGTAGTTGAGCTCTTGCCACGTTTCAGCTTTCCGGTTTCTTGCACGCAACTGGGCCAAATGTAACTAGTGAGTCGAACAGAGTGCGTTTCCGACCACGCGCAACGCGCACAAAACAACACCGGGCGTGAGCGCGTGAGTTGCTGGGGGGAACCAACCTCTTGGGTCGATCTGATCTTGCACGTCTTTAGAGCTCTCCGCGGGCAAGCTTAGGAGCCGGAGCCTCAGGCTATTGCGACTGTTGTGCTTCTCACTGATTGGTTTGCCCATGGGACCCGTACGTTTGGTGGTTGACACTTCTGGGGGGTTAGAGGCAAGCCACAGCGCCATGTTTGCTGGGTACTTGAGATGAATGGGGGGAGCCTTGAAAGGTGATTTCGGCAAGAGCTTGCTCAACATTTTTACCTTTGCCTTTCAAACCCAGGGGTCTCTCATTGAGGGTGCCCCCTTTTTTGATGGCTTCAAACTTGCTGGCGCTCAGTAGGGAATGAGAAATGGAGTGAACTTCAGTGAACCTGGGGATTCCGAAAAAAACGACGCCACCAGTTGGATGGTGTTTCTCGGGGTCAGACTCCATGTCTCATTCGCATCTCTCGCACCGATCGCAAGCAAAGGTTCAAAGGGACACCAAAAGGGAAAACCCACCATGCTCGGTTCCCACCATTTTGATGATTTCACAGGGAGCCATTTTGGCAGGTCCCCCAACATTTTAGGCAATTTTAATGGCGCGTCCCCCACCATTTTGGCTTTCAAAGGGACGCCACCAGGGAAAACCCGCCGTTTTTGAGGGAAACACCCACCGCTTTCCTTGAGGGTGCCTCTTTTTTGGTTGTCAAAGGGACGCCACCAGGCGAACACCCGCAGGGTCCACGCACTTAACGCAGACGAGAGCCACCCGGCGCCGCGAATTTTGCGCCTCCGGCGCCGAGGCCATGGTGGAGCTTCTCGCCACCTTCGGCGCGGCCGCCAAGGAGCCGAGGGAAAGAGAACATCTGTCCCGTTTTGTTTCTTTTTCTCCATGTGTTTCCCTCTTTTTGTTCCCTCTTTTCTTTTTCCTTTTGTTTCCCTTTTTTCTGGTTTTTCATGTTTTTCTTTTTTGTTGTTGTTTTCTTCTTCTTTTTTCCAATGTGCTTAAGATGACTTCTATGTGTTTTTCCCCATGTGTTTTTCCATGTTGTTTCCCCCATGTGCTTTCTGATGACTTCCCATTTGCTGAAATGGTGACTGTTGTTATTTTCCCCTGTTGGTGTTACAGGGAATCAGTGTCACTACTGGAAAAATATATATATATATATATATCTATATATATCTATATTTTTTCCGGGGGGCGAAACCGCAACTGGAAGTTTTCGTTGAAGCTTCTAGCCACTACCCGGCTAGTGGTTGGAGGGGAGCCGTGGAGATGGGACCCGGTATCCCAAAATTTGCACCTTTGAAGGGGGAGGCGGACTCGGAGCTACTCCAATTTGTCACGGTGAAGCGGCGCCCCGGCTTTGAAGCGTTGCATGCAACTGAGGACCCCGCACACAAACAGGGTGTCGTTTTTGAGGGCTACCCCCCTTCAACGCCATGTTGGGGGTGTTTTTTTCTACAAAGAGGCACGCCCACATGCCATGTATCGGTTGGCCGCCCAGGGTGCTTTTTGCCCCACAAGGGCGCTCAAAGGGCGAAGGGCACGATTTGTGTCGCTCGCCGATACAATCAGGGCCCCAACAAGGCAACATTTGGGGGGTGTCTCTGAGTTGCGATCGGTTTTAAAAGGACGGCAGAAGGAAACCCTACCTAGAGAACTCCATAATTTGAGAAGCATTTGTGTGTTGTGGCCCTGGAAGGAATCTGATCACCTAACTGGTGGTTGGAAGGGAGCGGTTCAGACTCGGAGCTGGGACCTGGTATGGCAACGGAGCGATCGGAGTTCTGGTTAGGGATATAGTACCTCCACGGTGTATCTTTTGGGTCCTCCGCGGTGGATCCTAAGGCCTGGGAAAAGAGATTGAATGCGTCGATCGAACAGGAGCTTTTCGACTACAACCGAGAGATGTACCAGTTTGACCAGGTCGCGGATTGATCCAATGTCGGTATGGGGTGGGGTCGTGCCGATCTGCGGAAGGTGGTGTTTTCACGCCCGCGCGTCTATGCACGGTCTTCTGAGGGCAGTAATGGTGATTTCCTGTTGGTTTCTTTGCGCCACCCGAATAGATGCACGCGTATCAACACGGGACCTCTGACTACAGGAGACAACTGTAAGCGATCCCGAAGGGAAGCCAACCAAGTTGCAGGGTTCTCTAACACGCAGCCAAGTTGATCTATCCTTGCGTTTCCATCTTACATCTTTGCCCTTGACTACAATGATGGTGACGAAAAAAAACATTTGAATCCCAGGTTCAGGTTCCACTGTCATCCAGAGGTGGTCTCCCGCTTGACCTCTGCAAGAACCAGGGCTTCACATCCCAATCGTTGGGATTACCTCAATCGGGTTCTCTAAACTTCCCAACATCACCCCAGGAAGCCTCGCTTCAAATTGTCCCAAAAGCTTCTGTCCAAGCCATCCAAAAGGAGTATGGGCGTGGCTCAAAATTCAGCAGCCGCGGCAAACCGCAGGTTTTAGTGGTCGGTTCCATTTCCCAAGATGCATTTTGGCACTTTTATTTGAGGCACAGCATGCACAGCCCATACAGGGGCCCTGAAACATCCCGTTCAACTGGCCCTACGGCTCCCAAGAGTGCTCCTCCAGACCAGCCAGACGATCAGAAACGAACGACTTCGGATGAATAAACCCCGGTTGGCTCACGGGGGTGTCCCTTTTATGGGCGATCTTTTGAAGTGAAAGCGCCTCAAAAGAAGGGTCCGCGTGGGTTGGGGGAAAATCTGGAAACATTCGATTCAAATGGATGGGAAACCGAAAGTTGCCAAAAGGTCGATTTGGGAGCTTCTTTTTTTAGAAGACCCTTTTCTGATGCCTTTAAAAGACAACCAAAACCGAGAACCATCACCAGAATAGGGACACGCGCATGTCCTTTGGGCAAGTGAGAATGGAATGTCGACTTCCACAAATCCACTTCCGCCTCTGTCCACTGGCGGTGTTTTTTTGTGAGGGAATCCTTTGGTTGCGGTTTTGAAGGGACACCAAAAGGAAGCCACATTTTTGGTGGGGTCCCCCCAAAAAATACGCGCGCGCGCGCACACGTGCGCAAGTCTATAGCAAGAGCTCACTGCTTGGCTGGAAGCATCGCCGGTCCTGCCATGACCCGGCGCCCTGTCCCTCCGGCCGCGGGCCTCGCGGCCCTCGCGGCGTTCGCGGCGACCGTTGACTTCGCCGCGCCGGCCGGCGACATTGGCGCGCCGCGAAGCGAGGCGGGGGTCCAAGAAGGGGCCTTTGGCGGTGTCCATTTGCTTGTCCTTGGGGGGTGTCTTTCTTTGGTTCCCTTTGCAGTGTTTTTGTTGAGATAGATGCAGAAACTGCTTGCGCTTTTGTTTCTGCCAGGGGCTAAGCCCGGGATCACGACCAGGGTTCAAACCCCCAAACCGCCAATTTCCAAACGGCCAAATGACCTCTAGTTTCAATTTTGGTTTCACTGTTGCTTTTGCTTGGTTCGGGGGGATCTCTATGTTTAGACATTTGACTTCCATGTGGGTTCCATTCGGTTTCCCTTTAAAACAAATAAACACGCACACACACACACCATGCAAGAGGGTGTCAGCCATCAAGGACCCCTTTCTGCTTTGTTTCCACTTGGCTTGTTTCATTCCAAGCAACAAACACACCCAAAAGGGTCTTCACCATCCTTCAATCTTATATGTGGTTGAACCATTTAGGGTTTCACCAGTTGCTTTCTAGCCCCTTTCCCAAGCAACTCGACGCGTGATGCTCGACCTGGAACCTGCGACCATTTCCAAATGGTGGCTTCCCAAGCAACCATTTGCTATGAACGGACCTTCTTGTGGAGAATAGATGGCCATGGGTCACAACCTATGCCGATCCCATTTTGGGGCGGATGAACACCCATGTACCACCTATTTCGATGTTCACCAGCACAGGGTTTTGACCCACAGCCACATGGCAGTTTGGGGGGTTCCAGGCATTCTCCCCCGCCAATTTCCTACTGGATGGTTGCAACATCCGCTTCTCGCACCTTTCAGAAACCCTAAGGAATGATTCGATTCCCCAACGTAAATACAGTAACGAACCTTATGGTTTCAACCGATACTTTCACTTCGGTGGTGCGAGTGGCATGGATTTCGATTTCGCAACCATCCGCAGTCTGAAGAAGCCTTCTTGCTGGAAAATACATGACAGTTTGGTCGAAATGTCACTTTCAGGTGCTGAACCTTATACATGGCAGCTCATGGTTGAAATGTCCCTTTCAAGTTCCAGGCATTTTCCCAAAAAGTACATGGCAGTTTTTGTCGTTGGTTTTCACCTTCGGGTTCTCCCGGCATGTCCCCCCCCCCCCCCGAGCCGAGCCCCGAGCCGCTTTCGCCGGTTCCGTCCGCAGGCTCCATGGGCCGAGGCAGACGAGGGATGGGAGCCGCCGCTCTTCGAGGAGGCCCAGTGGTGGCGAGCCCCCGAGGAGTGGCCCGAGGAGGCCGGGCGGGGGGAGGGAACAACGGGTTCCAGAGGGCGTGGCTTCCAAATTTGCGTTTCGGAATATTGGGTGGGGATGAAGTTGCTTGGAGGTGACTGCGATCTTGTGGAGGGAGTGGGGCGGGGTTCGCAACTTTGCTACAACCATGCTGCATAGGGCTGAGAGTGGCAACCTTGCTGTACCTTTGCTGATTGTCATGGAGAGAAGGGGGGGGCAGGGAACGGGTTGAAGAGGGCAGAGCTTCCAAATGTGCGTTTTTCAAGGAAGATTTAGATGCTATTTGCCCCCCTGGTTGGTTGTTGGAGGCTAGATTCTTGGGGGGGAGGCTGTGGTGATTCACAAAACGTGGTGTTTGTTTTGCTTTGTTCCCTGTGTGCCGTGTTTTTTGTCAGTCCAGAAGGTCTAGTTAGAGGAAATTGTTTCTTTGGGAAGCCATGTGTAAATGGTTGTTGTGGGTTCCAGGATGGCATCTTTAGGAGGGTGGTCCAAGAAAAGGGGGCTTCCCTGAGGCTCCCGAAGGTACCCGTTCAGGGAACCTAGAGGAACGCGAAAGTACCCACTTGTACCTAGCCCGGCTCCCCCGGATGGGTTTCTTCAATGGTCGCATGGGAGTTTGGGGTAGCATCAAACTATATGTGGCCCCGATCATACTGTGGATGGACGAAACCCATTTCGCACATACTTTGAAGCCTGGTTGAAACCACATCGTTTGTTGGTATTTACGTTGGGGAATCGAATCCTTCCAGGGCTTCTGAACGGTGGTGCGTTGGATGGATTTCGCAACCACCCACAGCAGGGTTTCCATGTGAGTATTCCAACTTGCAAGCTTACGGGGTTCTCAGTAAGGCCAGAGAACCACCAAACCCTTTGGCGGCGAGGAAAAAAACATCAAGCCTTCGGTTGCCCAAGCCTTGTGTGGTGTCTGGGAAAACCACTAAACCGATTCTCAGGGGAATAACTCACCTTTCCCGGGAAAAGAAGAGCCAGCTTCAGTTTGTCAGGTCTTGCCTTCCAGCAAAACCCGCAAAAATAAGGGAAGTCCGACAAGAATAATAGCTCAAGTGAATCATGATGAACATATTGTACCAACGGGGGTCTACACAAAAGCCATGGTACTACGTATCTGGCAAGCGATCCTGGATACCCGCTAAGAGGGTCTAATGAGCAAACAATTAAAGTGCAGCTTTCCCTCCAGAAATGCAGCTTGGAGCGTCCCCCTTCTCAAAAGGATGCAGTTTCAACCACAAAAGGAAAAACTCTCAAAAGGAATCACAGTTTGGGGGAAACCACCATTTGTAAAGGGCAAGGTGTTGGCTTCCAGGATGAGCTAGGTTCTTTAGGGAGCCAACCCCCCCCCCCCCCTCCCCCCTAGGAATTCCATGAGAGGTGGGGGTTTATCATTCCTGCCCCATATCATCTCTTTCGGTGGTTTTCCAACCACCCTAAGAGTTGTTGTATTACACCCTGCAATTATTGGAAATGACCCAACATGGTTCAACAAAGCACGGTGTTATACGGACATATGCCTAAATGGGGTCATTTCCCTGTAATCCCAGGTGTGATACAACCCTTACAACCACTGGTCATCCCATGTTCATGGTTTACCTTTTGAAATCAACCCCCAGGTTCCCCTCGAACCCCCCCCCCCCCCGTGACGTTTCTGGGATCCAACCACCCCTTCCCCCACTTCCCCGATTCCCCCAAAAATTCCCCCCCTTCCCCCCAGCTTCCCCCCAGCTTCCCCCCCCCCCCCTTCCCCACGGCTTCCCCCCCCCCCCCCCCCCCAAAACCACCACCCCCTCACCCCTTTGAGAATTCCATGACGCCACGAGAGGCGCGGCGGCTCTTCGTTCCCTTGGGCCCCTTCGACGCCGCCACGGACTTCCTCTGCGAGGCCCCACCCGCCTCCAAGCTGGCGGCGGCGCTCTACGAGGCGCTGGGCGCGCTGCCGCTGAACGAGTTCGACCTGCAGGCGGAGGGGCGGTTCTCGTCGGCGTTTTCGCCGTGTTTTTCTTTTTTTTCTTTTTTCGTTCGGGGGGGGGGGGGAGGGAGGTTGTTTTCTGTCCGTTTGCGTTTTTTTGGGTGAGGGAGGGAGGGAACACAGCTCTTGAAACAGCGGTTTTCCTTTTGGTTTCCCTTTAAACCCACCTAAAATGGGCCCAATCAGAAAAACAAAAAACTATTTGTCGCCTTGCGAACAATTCATCAGCATGGTGGAACAGGTCCTTTTTGTGTGTTTTTGCGAGGCTGGTTTTCGTGCTTCCAGCCAGAAAAGGAGCCACTATTTTTGGGGGTCTCAATCCCTGTTTTGACACATACCTTAACAACCGGAGCGGCATTTCAGGAGTATTTGCGTTTCCACGCAGATATGTTTCACGGTGTCCATGTTTGCTTTGGCATTCTTTTTTTGGTGAAGCAAACAGATGCCCCAAGGTCCACCCGTCGGGGTGCATTGTGGTTTCTTTGCATCACTTTCTGTGAGGGAAAGGCCCCTCTGACAAAGTCCCTTTGTGCGATGCAACTTTCAAAGGTTGTACCATCAGACCCCTGGAACATACCTCTTAAAGATAACCCAAGTAGAGTAAGTTAGGGTAAATCTGGCTTAACTGTCATGTATATTCTTTGGGGTTTGGTTTGGGGGTCAGTGGGGGAAGTCTTTGAAACTTGTTCCAGGTCTCTGGTTTCAGTGGTCGAGCGTTGCAGGTGAGATTTGCAATGTGACACAAGCCAGGCCCCATTCTCAGGTTCCTTTTGAATGCAACTGATTCTTGCCGCGGCAGGCAAACAACGGCATAAGAGTTTGGTGAAGTCGGGAGTCTTGTCAACCACGTGTGTACCCCGTATCACCCCCGGACAAATGGTGGTTGATCAAAAGGTCTTCTACATGGGATGACCAACGGGGAAAACCACTAGAACGATGTCCCAGATGCAAAAAGTTAGCCATGGTCAATTTGGGGGGCTGAACGGAATATTGATCAGCCCCCACACCTTTGCAATTCATTCAACCAGGTTCCTTTAAGAAAACCAGCTAAAACCAGTCCAAACATCACTACGAACAGGGGTCGAGGTTTGGTCATTGGACCTGTTTCATTGCCTGAATCCAACTGTTGCCCTTGTTCATTATTCTAGAAAACGGATTAGACTCACATTTTTTGTGGATCTCACCTGTTCTTCCCCCGGCTGGTCCTCGTTGAGCAGTCTTTCAGCAGTCCTGTGGGTGTGGATCCACAAAAGCCACATCCAATCCTCGTTTTTAGCTGAAGCTCCAGTCTTGTTTGTGGGTGGTTCCCACCGTTTTTTTCAGGTTCTCAGTTGGTTTGGCGGCTGGGTTTTTCCACTGAAACCACTGAAGGTCTTCAACTTTCAGCAGATCCGAAAACGGACGGAGGTCTGTTGGACCCAGAGATCAGAGCAGGAACGCCATAGAGTCCCCCAATTCAGCACTCATACTGCGGATGGTTGCGACATCCATTTCGCACCACTTAAAGAAACCATGGGAGTTGGCATTTGCAGGGGGAATCGAATCATTCCAGGGCTTCTGAACAAATGGTGCGAAATGGATTTCGTCCTTGCACAGTATCTTGGTTGATGTTTTGTATGTGGCTGTGGGTCGAAACCAATGGTACCATTTTGGGCTAGCTGCACCACCCAGTTTAGTCTATTTTCGTGGGGATTGGGATGTTCTCTGGGGGTACGATTTGGCTTTTGACCCATGGCCCATATGTGTGTCTCCGGGTTTGGACCTTAACTTCCATGTGCGTAAGGACGATGTTTTTAATTTTCCCTTGGTTGTTTTAAAGGGAGTTTATCACTACTGGACATGTTTTTCACCTTTGCCAGGGGTCTTAACCAAATGGAAGTTCATTTTTCGGGCAAATAGATGGGTTTCCCTGGTATACCTGATTAAGCCACAAGGTAAACCGGGAATCGAAACCCCTCTATTTTTCCACCAAAAGAACCAACAAGGACACCTATGATTTTGGTTTGGACCTCAATTTTTGACTTGCCTACGTTCGGTCTCCGGATTCCTTCCGCCCAGGCGCTCCTCTACCCGGGTGCCTCCCACCTGCTTACAGCGCGGCAGCTGCTCGAGCGACGGGAGTCGGGATCGAGTCGGGAGCCTCCGAGCTTTTGGTTTTGCTTTACCTAGAGTTGCACCAGTTGGTATCTTCCCCAGAATTAGCTCCCCCTTTTCCTTTTTTGCTTTTTTGGGGTCCCCTTTGTTTTCCAGGCAAAAAGTATTCTTTTTGCTGGGGTCCTAATTCCAGCCAAGTCAATAGGGTTTCATCTATCCCAACATGCCCTTCGGCATGGATTCTGTCCATCCAATGTGGTCCAACAAGGGGCCGCTTTTGCTGTGACATTTTGGGGTATGACATTAGAGGCTTTTTGGGTCTCCTGGTAGAATAAGCCTTAAAAGGGAACCCTCAAACAGGAGACACCCAAAATGGCCTCCAAGAATCTGACGTGTGCTTGGTGGGCGAGAGCTGAGGTTGACTAGCCAGTGTTCTTAAGAAGCGGTCTTTTGGAATTTTGGATGCTTCATTTCCTTTCAACCAGCAAGCCGGAGCATAAGGGTGTCTGTGTTTTTTTGGGTGGGGACCCCAAAATTGTGGTTTTCCTGTTTGTTTCCATGTCAAAACCGCAAGCACGGCGCCTCAAGAAAAAGACGAGACACCCAGTTGAAAGCTTGGTGCCGGCGGGTTCCAGCCGACCCCCCCCCCACCGAAGCGGGCACGTCGATCTTCCCCGAACGAAGGCTGCGCCAACTCCTCGCCTTCGGCGGTTCGAGGGCGCCGAAGTCGGTGCTCGACGTGGGGGCGGGGGACGGGTGCGTCACGGAGCAGCTGCGGAAGCTGAAGGCTGAGGCGGATCGGTGCCGATGCTTTTGCCCGACTGCGAATGGTTGCGAAGTCGATTATCCAATGCACCACTTCGTTCAGAAGCCCTGGAATGATGCGATACCCCCCGTAAATACCGACTGGTTTCAAAGTGGTGCAGGATTTCGTCCATCCACAGTATGGCTGTCAATTACTTACCCAGCTCCACCTTCCCTCCCCCCACCACCCCTCCCCCCCTCGCCTCAGGTGGTGGCCCTGGAGACCAGCCGCGGCATGGCCTGGCGCCTGCGACGTCTCAAGAACTTCGAGGCCCACTGCGGGGACCTCGCCGCAGGCGCCGACTTTGTTTTTTGGCGGGGGATGTTTTTTTTGGGGATGGGTTTAAAGGGAAACTAATAGGAAGTGTTTGGTATGTGTATATATATATATATGTTTGCACATATTCTTGCATATGCTTCAGAATACGTTTTTTCCCCCAACAAGCTGCAGCAGTTCTCCAGAGCTCTTGAGAGGCAGGGGCTTAGCGACTCTCGCCTGAGTCGCCTTGAGTGGAGGAGTAGCCCTCTTCACAACGGGGGTCCCTGGCGAGGAGGCGGCCTATGGAGCATTGGCTGGAGGAGGGTGGATCTGGCAGGTTATGTCCATCGGGACTATCGAGGGAGCAGCAGTGAGGAGGCGATAGAAGAGACCGCTTCGCAAGGCTCTTCGCTGGCAGCCCTCAGAATCTGGAGGTCGAAGGGATCCTCCCCGGTTCCGGCCGCATCGGGCCCTAAGGAGCCTCCCAAATCGCCACCGGGGAAGGCAGCAGCTCCAGCAAAGGGGGCACCTCCCGACGAAGCGGGTTCTTCCTCTGATGAGATTCATACGGTCGCGAGACCTGGAACCAGGCTGTCCCCCAAGATAGCTGCTCCCGGCTCCAACACTGGTGCCACCGGGGCTGAGAAACAGAGCAGCGCAGATCACAGAGCACCCAGCTCGAAAGGGGTTGTCCGAGGCGGTACGGCCGGACCGCCGGCACTTAGCCTGGCCACCCTACACGGGCCATTGATAGCAGGCGAGTTTGCCGGAACGGGGGTTCATCCAGGGAATGCCGGCTTGTCTTCCGTTTTTTTGTGTGTGTTTTTTGGTTGGTTTCCTCAGGTGTTCAGCTGCTTTTAGTTGAAAGTTGGTCACTTTTAGCGGGATCTACAGCCCGGTCCGGAGAGTCTCCGTCGACTCGCACGCCAACTCTTTGAGTTGTCTTTTAATGCGGGGGTTGATCATTATGGCCATGGGTCAAAATCCAAATCGGTTAGCGGGACCCAATCCAACCACTATAGACTAAAATGGGTGGTGAATGCACCTAAAAATGGGATCCCATTCGTTTTGACAACCACAGACATTTGTTTAGGAGTATTTGTTTTAGATTTTCCCCCTGTTGGTTTTAAAAGGAATCGATCATTGTCGGACATATTCTATTTTTCCAGCGATCTTAAGCAAATGGATGCATACACAAATCACATGAACAATGCTACGGTTCTAGGGGTTGATTCCTTGTGGTGTGGGCATTTGCCTTTTTGTCTGAGGGGTTTCTGTTCAGTGGGTTTTTGGTTCGGCATTTCAAGAACCCGAGCCTCCAGGAAATGATTCCAACCCTTTGTTTCAACATGTTTCAACCATCGTTGCTTCAGAAGCAGAAAAACAACCTGGGTTTCTGGAGGTTTTCTGGAGGTTTTCCGGATCCCTGAATTCAGCATGGAAATGAAAGGTAGCCCTAGAGAGCCTGGTGCCCATCCTTTTGCTCAAGAAGAATCCGGCTCCACCGCCGTGCCGTGAGGCGCGCTGCCCGGCCGGAGCTTCGAGCTGGTGTGTTTGCTGAACGTGCTGGACCGCTGCAGTCAGCCCCAGGCGGAAAAATCGGTTGGGGGGGGAGGGGAGAAGGAGCCCTGGGATTCTAAGCTGCCATGACATGGTATCATTTTTGTTCACCTCCCGTTTTTGGTTTGCCCTCCCAGCGACTAACATGGAAGCGCCTAGACTACTGTAGAAAGACTGCTTTCCTCGCGGAAAGGGCTTTGGGCACTTCCACGTTGGCTGGTGGGAGAGGACTCGGAGTTTTACTTGATAGTTTGGACTTCAACCATGGCTTTGCTGGCTTATTTGGCAGATATCCGATGTACGCCTGCCAAACTGTTGGTTGGATTGGTAATCAACCTCATAGGGTTTTAGACAACCAAAATCAATTTAAGGTTGTATGTTTTTAAATGTTGGCTTGAAGGGGAATCTCTCACTACTGGAAATATGTGCACTGTTCCAGGGGAACTTGAGCAAGTTGCTGGCAAGGAAACCATGAGCACGCCACACACGAAGAGTGACTTGCAGGTTCTCGGTAGGGAATCCTCGGTTAAGGGATCATCCAATGTGGGGACATTCTAATTCCCTACTTAGAACCAGAAGGAAAAGTGAGTCTTGTATGGTATTGTTGGCTTTGCACTAAGCCTTGTTTGCTTTTTGAGCTTGCTGGAAACCCTGAAGTTAATCAACCTGCTTGATTACCCTGCCTTCCACTAACACCTGTGGGAGGGACCCGGGAAGATAGATTTCCGCTTGAAGGCACCCTCTTTCAGGTGCGGAGTAAGCGTACTCCGGGGTCGCTTTCGCAGAAGAAAAGCAAAAAGGCCAGCCTCAAAGCCCTTGAGACACGGCCCCAACCGGCCAACCGGCCAACCGGCCCTTTTGGCTTCCCTTCTAAACTCCATCCCGAAAAAAGGGGGTCCTGCAAAAACAGAGACACTCTTCTTGCTGGTTCCCAGCCGTCCGGTTCCTTAAGTTTTGAGTTGTTTTTAGTTGGTTTAGCGGTGGTTTCCACTAAACCACCACAACATAAACTTTTGGCAGGGCATCTGAGAGCAGCCCAGTCGTTTCTAAATCCGCAAGTTCATTGGAAGTGGACATCTACCCCCCCTTACCTTGCGGAGCTACCGATGGGAGTCCTGGTGAAGGCATGGCAAGGCAATTTTCGGTTTGAACGGTCAGGCGCTGCTGGCTGCCGCGCGCGAGAAGGCGCCCCTGCTGCTGCTGGCCACGCCACTGCCCTTCCAGGCCTCCTACTTTGGCCCTTTGGTCCCCCATGCGGAGCGACCGAGACGGCCGAGATGCGTTGAACGAAACCCATTGCGCACCACACAAGAAACCCGGGCATGAGTCGATTCCCGCGTAAATACCAACACCATTGGTTTCCCGTGGAGTGGTTTGAAGTGCAGGATGTGCAGGATTTCGTCCATCCGCAGTATTTAAAGTATTGCTGGTCCAGCTAGGTGCCCTTGTACCGTTTCTTGTTTGGTTGGGAGGGGAACCCTACCAAAATAGACCACAGCAAACAGTTGGTACCCTTATTCCAACCTCTCCACCGAAGGACCTAGATGACCGAAATCTGTTTTTTTGGGGCGGAACGGCGGAACCCCCATCTTGGGAAAACCACAAAATATTGGGGGTCTCTACTGGAGGCCCCGGAAAGTTCAACCTTCCGCCGCCCGGTGCTTGCGCAGGGTTTCTTCGCTCGGCAAAATTCTGAGGCCCTGAGACCTCCTGGACTGGCGAGGCGAACTCGATGTGTCCGGAACGGACGGCTCGGATGTTGGTTCGGTCTTGCCGTGCGCGGTTTGTGGGGGAAACATCTTGGCGCTGAAGAGAACCACTTGTTGTTTGTCTTCCATTTGGTTAAGAATATTTTTTGTTTCAAGGAAATCTATCACTACTGGAAATATGTCTTTTTATTTTTCTAGGGGACTTAAGCAAATGGAGGTTGTTGTCTTGGCTCGGCTTTTTTGGACTAATTACTCCTTCTCAGTAGGTGTTTGGGAATTTGTGGACTTATCATGTTGTCCACAAGAGAAGTGCCAACAGTCAGGACTCGACCAAATTCTTGTTTCGAAGTTTTGTCGTTTAGTTTTGTGCTTGTTCAGTAGATAGACATATTTGGAGAAACCAAAAGGGCACACAACAGGGACATACAAACGGGATGACAGAAGCTGATGTTTCTCTTGGGTACCTTTATCTCCACCCCAACCAGTACCCCTTTTGGTTCCCTTGAAAACCCCAAAAAGGGGGGTCGGAGTCGGCCGGACAACTTGTAGGGAAACCATAAGAACCACTACCTTTTTCTGGGCGCCCCCGCATTGGCTCTTGCAACCAGTGGCAACAAGGGGTCTGTCTTTGCGCGCTGAAAAATACGTATATTCCCAACACTTAAGGCCAAAGATCCAAGCGAATAGCTGATAGCCAATGGGTATGTGTTTTGTTAAGTGTACTTCGCCACCCAAGAAAAGGCCACTGCAATGCCAAGAATAGGGGGACCCACAAAAAGGTAGTCTTCCTTTTGGTTCCCTTTGCAATTTCAATCCAACCCCAGAAAGGGGGGTTCCCCCTCCAGATCTTTGGCCTCCAAAGACACCTTGTCCAACACACACGCATACCCGGCAAACGGGGGGGGCCCCTCAAACAAACAAGCACACCTGCTGTGAATGGACGAACTCCTGCACCACTTAAACCATGTACTTTACAAGGGGAGTCGAAAATCATTCCGGGCCTTGTGAACGGTGCGTTGGATGGATTTCGCAGCCATCCACGGTATTTTTGTGGCGGTTTCCAACAACGACATCGCCACCTTTGAGGAGGTTCCCAAAATGGGTGGCCCCTCAAGCACGAATGCATCTGGGGCTGTCCTTTTGCGAGGGAACCCGGTTTCCTATGTTGAGACAAACCCATATTGGCTGTGGGTCAAAACCAATGGTACCATTTTGGGGTAGGTGAATTCACCACCCATTTTAGAACTTATTTTAGTGGTTGGATTGGGTCCCGTTCACTGGGGGTACGATTTGGATTTTGACCCATGGCCATAATGATCAACCACCACATAAGAAAACTCAAAGAGTTGGCCTCGAAGAAACGGGATTTTGACCCATGGCCACATCCCTAAAGCAGACAAACACAAAAACCTCATTTTGACCAATAGCAGCCATGGGTAACCCGCTTCCTAACTCGCTTAGTAACCCTGGCCATATGTGTTATGTGCAAAGCGGGTTGCTTGAGGACCCCTAGGCTCCAGGATCCGGGGGGCCCAAAGGTCTCCCCGCTCGCAGGTGCCCGAGCCTTTGGGCGACTCGGACGCCTGGCCGGGGGACTCATGGCTGCTGTTGGGAAACATTTTGGCATTTTGGGTTGTTGTGTTTTTTCGTGGCTGCTATTTTTGGTTTTTGCTGTTTTTTCGTGGTTGAAATCCAAATCCACTCCACCGCTAAACTTCGAGAAACAAAAAAAACAAGCTGGTTTCTTGGGACATCCCCACTTAACTGCCAAACAAATTCTCGAGAAATTTATTGCCCCCCTTCCAACGTCCTCCAAGGACTGGGCGGGGGACGCTCTGCGGCTGCTGCGCGCCGTGCTGCCGCAGAGCGGCTGGCGTCCGCTGGCGGTGAGCCGAGTGCCATATCTCACCGGGGGCGATGAGGTGACGTGGCGCAAACGAATCGACACGCGCAAGGGCTAGGTCACCCAGCTAGGTGCCCTTTTACCCTTTTTTGGGGGGAGGGTTGCCCTACTGCAATAGACTGCAGAAAAAAGTGGGTGCCCTTATTCTATCCTCTCTACTGGAGGACCTAGGTACCAATGTGGCCATGAATTTTAGTAGGGAACCACCTCAAAAGTGATTGGTGGACATGAATCCCCGCCTAAATGATGTCCAAAGGGTCCCTTCTTAAAATTCATACCCATGTCAGTGGGCAAAAGGATCATGGCCCGGCTACCCCCAACAGGAGATTCCAATGTCAGCCACGCCATATTCAAAACCCGGGTAATTGGAGAGAAAGGGACAATCCCCTTGCAAGAAATGGGTGCGGTGCCTTCGCCTTTTGGGCTGGGCTTCTGCTGAGGAAGGTGCTGTGGAGCTGGACGACTTGGTGGTTCTGGCAGAAAGGATCGTCTTTTCGGGCGCCGATTCAGGATGAAGGTGGCGGTTCAGTGGAACCCACGCCAAGATGGGTCTACCATTGGACCATGTATAGATGTGGTGGGCCTACTTGGTTCTACACTTAGGTGCTGCCAAAACGGAAGCCTGGATGAAGCAGAATGCAGTAGTATGCCCAGCCCCTGCAGATCGATTGGAGGTAGCCGCAGGAGACCGGCCAGACGAGTTGATTCAACTTTGGCTCGCGTGCGGGCCGTTTCAGTGAATCCTGAACAGAACCCACGACTTCGGAGACCAAATCTCTGAGATGAGCTCAGGCGAGCTCCAGAAGCAGAAGATGAGCGCCTGAGCTCCAGGAGAAGACTTCACTTTTTCCAGGCCCGGCGGAAAAAGCGCTGCTTGAAGAGGCGCCAGCCGCTGAGCAGCTTTCTTCTCGGCCGAGGACGAGGATCTGAGCGCCCGGCGGAGGGCAGAGGCGCCGAAGGAGCCAGGTGGAAGCGCCGAGGAGACGTGGCCGGCTCGCGAGCCGGCCTTTGGCCTGGTGCGAAAAGCGCAGAGGCGGCAGAGGCGCAGAAACACGGGGAGATGCTAGTTCTGGGTATCTTCGCGTGGAGAGATTGAAGGATGGTTGAAAAGAATGGAAAAGGAAGCAACCCCTAGAAATGATCCTGCCCGTAGGTCTCCTGTTGGAAGCAATTCGATGGTGTTTTGTTCCCATTAAACACCCATCCACTCCCAGAAGCTTCCGCTTATCAACTCAGTCTTGGGTGGTTTAAAGCAGCGAGTCGTGCGGCTCCTTAGCTTTTTAGTTCTTGTTTGTTGGTTCCTCGTTGGCTTTGTAGGTCTTTTTGGTTGGTTAAGTGGCAGGGCTTCCGAATCTGACCCACTAAACTAGGTCCCCCAGCTAGGTGCCCTTTTGCCGTTCGTTGGGAGGGTTCCCCTACTAAAATAGACAGCAAAAACGTGTGCCCTTATTCTAACCTCTCTACTGGAGGACCTGGTTTGTGTCTCCGGGTTTGGACCTTAATTTTCACCTTCAGCCAAAGTTCGGTCAGGATTTCTTTCCCCCAGCCCTAGGAAATGTTAGTCAAGTATTAGTAAAAAGGTAGTCACTTTTCGCAGGCGGCTCAGAGAACGAACAGCCAAGCCGCGCTGCCAGGGCCAGCGCCTGGATCGAGAGCTGCCCGGAGCCCTGGGGGAGGTAATGAAGAGAATGGTCGCAGGCGTCCGTTTGCTGCAACGAGAATTTGTTCATATCTATGTGTCTTTTTCCCGTTTTTTCTTCTTCCTTTTTTTTAGGGAGTCAATCTTTGTTTTTCAGTTGACGAAAACACATCAAATGGACACAGTGGGTTCTATCATGGGCCTGTCGCCAGGAGTTTCTATGGGGATTGGGTTTCAGGGGCCCTTGACAACAGGGTTGCCGCCAGAAAGGCCCTCCCCCCCCCCCCCCCAATAATGGGGCCACACTCCCCCATGCCCAAATGTCAGCGTCCACTTGGCCACAGCTATGCCTCCTTCCTGAGCAACAATTTTCTCGCCCCAAAGGTGTCGGGAGAGCCTGAAGATATCCATATGAGTGTCTCAACACGGGGAGGGGGCTTAACACTTTTCGCAGTTGGCTTCCCCTTCACCGGGGTCTCCGATCCCAAACCGATTTTGACAGTTTGGGACAAATATGAAACTGAGTCGTTGAAATTATCTCCCTGGACCGCCAGTTGCGATCGCTTTGTTGCATCCACTTTTCCCCAAAACCCAGCATCAGTGACTGACAAGAACAGCAACTTGGCTAGCTAGGTCTCTGCTTTTCTGTTTTTCCCAGCCCTTTTTTGGTGGGCCAACCAACCAAAAAGGGCTTCGAACGCCTCCAAAAAGCCCACCAAAAAGCAGCCCAGTGCCACATTTTTTTCTGCGCGCCCACCCACTTTTTGTGGGAAACCCTAAATCCTAAACCCTAAACCCAGGGGTTTCAACCACCCTGGACCGCCTCAACAAACAGTTGCAACAGGACCCGCCCACATCCGCCCCCATCCGCGAAAAAAAAACACGGAAGCGCAGGCTGCGGCTCGAGATGCAGATCAAGCGGTTCCAGCTCTTTCGGGAGGATCGATGGATCGGTCGCCGTAGGTGTCTCTTTTGGGTTCCCGTAGTTTGGTTCAACATGGTCATTTTTGGGTGCTGATGGGTCGTGTCTCTTTTCGATACGATGTGAGGTTGCGATACTTGCTTTTCGATACCGAGCGCCAGTTTTGCGGTCCCCTTTGACCCACACAGATTGAATCTGCTCTGAGGCCCTGAGAGGACGAAAGGCGCGTTGTTTGGGGACCTTTCCAGGCATGAGCTTTCCGCTGAGATGCGAAGATACAACCCAAAGAGAAACTGGGTTGTCGGTAGAACAACCCTGGTTACACCTTGTAGGTGCTTTTGTAAGTGGGTGAAATGGGGTTCTTTGATTTCGCAGATGCCTCCGACTTGCGGAAGCTTCTCCTGTCATTGCCAGACTTAGCTCAGGGCTTTCTCCTGCCGCCTTTCAGTGTTCTGCCATTGGGTCTATCTTAAAACAGCGAACCCCTAGAATTGGGTTTCCAAGTTCAGTTGCCCGCATTTTCCCCATTTCAACCAGCAAACAGCTGTCGGAGGAGCGTTCGCTCTTTCTGGGGGGGAGCCGCGAGGACATACGCGACCTCGTGGAGCTGACGGTGGGGAAAATGGAAATGCTCGCCTCTTAGATCGGTGCGTGTGTGTGTTGGGGCAAAGGGGGGCGGGGGTTGGTTAAGATGGGCCTGTGTGGGAACTTAAACGACAGAGGTTGTGCAATACTGTTGCTGGCATGTTTTATGCTTTTTCTGGGTCCCCAGTGGTGCCCTGTTAACCTTTTTTGGGGGAGGGTTCCCCTACTAAAATAGACGTCCAGAAAAAAGTTGGTACCCTAATTCGGACCTCTCTACTGGAGGACCTAGTTTTGGTTTATGTTTCTGTGCACTAGTAGGTGGGGGGGCTCCGAGAGCGCGACGTTTGTTGCTACCGTGCCAGCACTGCTTCAAACATCTTTGGACGGTTACGCCGCCAACCATCCATGAGTATCCCGGGCGGGGCGGACCAAAAGCCCCCAAAAACAATGACCGCAAGCAGACAGTTGATTACCCACAAGTCCCAAGTAGGGAGGAGACCTTACAGTCTGGGCGTATGTCAAGCTGATGGGGCCCTAAACATTTGTTGGGTTCCTCCGCAAGGACCCAACTTGGATGATGAAACTGCTCAGGTAAAGAATTGTGGTTACATTCCCCCCCTTTCTTTTGATGCTGGTTGACCCCCAGGGTGAGGTTTGGTCAAATTCACGATATGGTACCTATGGTAAAAGTGCCGAGGCACATGGGAGACGAGCGAGAAAAGCTTCCCGCACGAAGCTAGGAGGACTCACCTAAGTGCCCCATGATGCCCTCTCTCACCCTTTTTTGGTTGGGAGGGTTCCCTTACTAAAATAGACTACAGGAAGAATGGGTACCCTTAATCTAACCCTCTCAAATCTGGAGGTCTTAGTCACTCAACTCACGTGACATGTCCCGTGCCCTCGGGACCACGTACTCACTATGGCTCACATAGCCACTTCAGCTGCCCAAACTCCCACGGAAGGGCCATTGAATGGTACTGCCTAGGGTGTTTGCTGTCCTTTGCTTTGAGGGCACCCTTTCGCGGTTGGTTGAAAGGACCCCCAAGCATTTTTGCGGGTTCTTGTTCTACTTGACAAAGCCAAACCCCCAAACTTCTTCTTCCTCTCCTTGACACACCCAACCCAACCCGACCATAGAAAGCCACCCCCCTTCCTTTACCACAGAAAGCCGCTCAGCCAGCGAGGGGCTCCCGTTCTTAGACGGCCAACTCCGGGCCTTCCCGGCGCGCGCTCGTTGACGTCCGGCGCTCGGGGCCTTCCCGGCGCTCGAGGTACCACGTGGTGGGCGCCTTGGTCCTGGAGTGCACGGTCATCTACTACACGGAGGGACGCATTCGGGCCGGGGCCTCCCAGACAAGCGAGCGCGCGCGCGAGGAAGCCTCAGGAAGGGAAGGTTCCGGGAAGCCCTCGCAGAAACATGGACCTGTTTTTGGGGTGAATATCTAAACCCAAAAGGACACCAACCAGTTTAGGGTACCCCCCCCATGTTTAGGGCCTCCCAAGGGAGCGAGGAAGCCTCAAGCGAGGGAGCCTCAAGAGGAAGAGGAGCCGGAGCCTGAATCCCTCCGAAAAATTAATTCAGGGGGTCATACTGTGGACGAAATCCTCTTAGGCACCTCCTGAGAAACCCGGAAATCCTGATTCTATTGTAAATACCAACGAACAATGGCTGGCATTCTATCGTTTCAAAGTGGTGCAGGATTCCGTCCATCCACAGTATCAAGGCTTCTGAATATGGACGCCCTTTGGGTGATTATTTCAAAGGAACCCAACAGGAAACCAACCAGTTTAGGGTACCCCCTATTTTGAGAAGCACGTATATCGGGTTGTCTTAGGAGCAACCGCAAACATGGGTATCTATTTGGTGTCCGTGTAAATCCACCCCAACAGGGCACCCTCAACAAAAAGACACACCATACTAATTGCATGGAAGACATTGTCTGTTGAGTTTCCCTCGGACAGCCCAGAAACCAATCTTCGCCTGACTGGGTTGTCACACTGAACCATGCCTTGCATTTTCCATTTTTCAGAAGAGGGGTACTTCAAATCGCACACCCTGGCAGTATAAGCCGTTTCTTGATGGTGCATTGTTTGGTTTCCAATTTTGTGGTCCCCTCATTTTCAGATAACCCCTTGTATAATTGTCATATTGTTGGCCATGTGTAGCTGGGGCTTGCAACATGGATCCATTTTACCAGGAGATTTCTCTGAACTTGGCTGGGATTTGTGGAGTTCCATGTTCTCATCTCGACAACACTCTTCCGTTCAAGATCGCTATCTCTCGCTGTGGGCCCCCGGTTTTGTCTCGCGAAACCTGAAGTGAACATATGGGTGTGTCTTTCAGCCCCTGCGGAAAAAAAAAGTGCAACCCTGGTAAGTGGAAACATGGACCAAAACCTGCGTAACCCCTCCTGTTTAATTTTGAGCCACAGCCATATGGGTGTGTCTTTCAGCTGCGGAAAAAGGGCAGCCAAAAGGAAGCTCTTCATTTCTGACTTCTGGTGGCCTTTCGGGGACGCGGACCTGTGCTTCCCTCGCTCCATCCAAACGAAATCGAGCCTCGAATTCTGAGACCTCTGCGCCGCCGTTCTTGCTGGGCCTCTACTGGCTGTCGGTCAGAGCCCCAAGGTCGAATGAAGTCAAAGTTTTCAGGTGGTCCCTTATTCAATTGATTTTTGTTTGGGTTGCTTTCATTTGCTTAAGAGTAGTTTAGTTTTCCCCTGTTGGTTTTAAAGGGATCTATCACTGCTGGAAATGATGTTATATTTTTCGGGGAGCTTAAGCAAATGGAAGGTTGGTGGTTTGGGGAGTTGCACCCTTGGTTCTTGTAGAGGTGAAATTTGGGCGTGTCTGTTTTCCCGAGCTCAATGGGGTCGATAGGCAGCTATAACGGCTGGTTTGGGGCAGCCTTTACGGGTTCCGGAGATTCGGATCCAGGGGGGTTCGGGCTGGGGATACCACCTGGGCTTAGTTGAGGATATTCCTTCTGCATACATAGGTGTCCTTTTTGGTTGTTTTGGTAGACAAATAGAGGGCGATTCCTGGTTTGCCTGGTAATTTAATCATCTACCGGGGAAAACTAGTTGCCCTATGTGTGCATATCGTTTCAAAGGCAAACCAAAAGCCAACGACCCATTTGGCATTGGTGGGGGGGGGGGTTGAGACGCACCCATTTGTAGCCATGAGACGCCCGGCTTTGCGGGGAGTTTTTCATGGGCTAGATGGGGTTTGGTATTGTAAAACATGTTTTTGTGTCCATCATCTGACGGCCAAAAGTGTGTTTTTCTTGGGGCACATATCGGGTTACCCAGCACTTAGTTGCTACAGGCCAGCTCATCCCGACTCTCAGGCTCAAGCCCCATAGATAGATTCCAAGGAAGATTTAAAATCAATGTTCAGCTCAGGATTCATTCGGTGGCAGTCTTTTTGTTAAGGGTACCCATTTTTTACTGTAGGTTCTTAATTCTTGGCATGGTTCCGGGATTACGATTCGATTCATAAATTGGCCGGCTTTTTGTCAAGGGTACCCCTATATGCTTCGGGCGGCTTTTCGGGGTCTGCAACAAACGTGTTTTGCTACCATACCAAGAGATGATTCGATACGTAACGAACAACTCAGAAGCTGAGAGTTTGCATCGGACCTCGGGCTTGAACCCGGTGCTGGATAGCATCGATGGATTCCGGGGAGCCATGAGCCGAAGAGTCAGCTTCCGTCCTGAGGATTTTAAGTTCTCTGTTGAGTTTAAAGGGAATCGATTTCGCTACATAGTATTTGTTTTGCCATGGGAAGGGAATGGAGGTCACTAGTGACTGATAGCGACTATTCGGGGAACCATGATTGGAGGGGCGCTTGTCGCAGGGGTTGGACCAAAGCTCCTTGCGAGCCGCCTTGATAGCACTCTCCTTACGGCTTTGATCCACGGATATGAATCTACCATCGAGGAGTAAATAATGAAAATGGGGTCAGGGCGATAAGTTATGGCATGGGGTATTTTGAAGCCTTTTGGTGGTGGGTCGATCTTTGTTGAGGGTGCTCCTGTTGGGCTGACTTCAATGGAAAACACCAGGGGAACCACATCTAGGTCCTCCGGTACAGAGGTTAGAAGGGCACGCCTTTTTTTCTGTTGTCTATTTTAGTAGGGGAACCTTCCCCCAAAAATGGTAAAAAGGGCACTACTGGGGACCTAGACATGTTTTGAGGGGATTCCCTATTTTAAGACACACCCAAAAAATCATCCGAAAGCTGAGCGCCCCCCCGATCGAGGCAGCCGGTACCTTCACCTACGTCCTGCTCTGTGTTTGGTGCGCTCGCGGACGAGTCGGTGTCGGGTACTGGCGCCAGGGTCCACATCCAATCCTTTGGGGCATTTTGCTTGGCTGTTAGGACTTTATTTTTTTGCCAACTAATGAGTTTTCCACTAAACCACTAAAGGCAGGTTGAAAACTTTTAGCAGGGGAGCAGCAGGCGCAACCGAGAATCCGGTGGGTTGTTCCCTTTCAATTCTGGAGGTGAACGACCAAAAACAACAACGGCCGAAGACTCGAGTGCCAACAAACGACCAAACAATCAACTACCAAAAGCTGCCAAACACATCAACTTCCCGAAAGCCCAGAAACAACAAGAACACTGCCAACAAAACTTCACCCAAAAAACTAAGCAAACCCACTAGCACAAAACTACCAAATAAAGCAACCGCCCAAACTACAAAAAGCAGCGACCAAAAAATATACCAACAAAAAAAAGAGTGCCCCTTTTACAAAAACGATGCAAATCCGTAGCTCTGGGACTTGGAACTCAGAAACATTGTGTTTTTAGAGTCGGAGTCTCATTTCGTGGATTTCGACCAATGCGAAATCGCTGACTCTAGAAAAAGTGCACGTGGGAGGGCGACAGGTTTTCCGCTGGTTCCACTTAGTGGTTTGGGGGTTTGGGGACAGTGGACACCAACTTACCCCTTTCTCCAAATGCCCTTCTTTTTGTCAGGGCTTTTGAAAGAAAAACAGTCTTTCCAGGATAAATAGTGGATACACCCAAAAAGCGGGTATTTGTAGAAAGGCGCCCACTGGGTGATTTGAAAGCTAGGTGGGTCTACTACTTTTTGGGTGTGGTATTGTTTCCTTTTGTTTAGGAATTCCACCCCCCAAACAAATAAATGTCGGTGTTCCTCTTGGTTTCCATGTTTGACATCACCAAAAAAAGGGGTACCATCAAACAAAGACCCGAGAGTTGCTCCGAGCCCCGTGAGGTTTCTCTCTGGCCCTTTTCGGATCGGTTTACAGCTTTGTTTGCGAAGGGCGCGCGAAATGGCCATAAATTCTAACTAGGGATCCTTTGGCTCACTTCCTGAGTTCATGAACTTTAAACTTTTTGGGAAGACCATTTTAGTGGTAAATATAAAGTTTGGACTTTCTTTGGGCCATCCACTCAGCCAGTGAGTTGGTGGACATCATTTGCAGGACTCATGTCTCATGTCCACCAACCATTTTGGAAGGGTTCAGCCATTTAAAACTCATAACCACATGGGTTTGGCTCACACATTGGCAGCGTCAGTTCCCCAACTTGACCGGTTGCTTAAAAACCAGGAAATCCCTATGACACTGGCGGTTTGGAGGTCGTGGAAGCCATCTTGGATTGATGGGACACCCTTTTAACCCCATTTGATTTAATGGTGGTGTCTGAACCCGGTGGATCCGTGGGACACATTTCCCGTTAGATTGACGGGTGTGTGTTTTTTCCTTGTAATGCCCATTTGATTTCATGATGGCGTCTGAAGAACTGCAGGGTGGATCCGTATGAAACATGTTCAACATGTGGCTGTGGCTCAACAAACCGGTACCAAAATGGAACCCTGGCAAGTGGAAACATGGGGAAGTGAGGGGAGATAAGCCCTTATTAAGCCCTTAACAAGGCCTTACCTGGGCTTATTTGGGCTCCCTCCCCCCTCCCCTCCCTCCCCCCCAGCCCCCATGATGGAAACATGGACCAAAACCCTGCGTAACCCAACTGTTTAATCAGGGCTCCTTAAAAAATACATGTTGCAACCATTTGAAACATGTTGCTTTTTCAACACCAAAAAGTTGGAAGCCACCATTTGCAAGTTGCAATGTTCAGGTGTTGTCATGTAAGGATCCCTGATTCTTCTAGAAAACGGATTGGACGTACATTTTTTGTGGATCTCACCTGTTCTTTCCCCCAGCCTTGGAAGAGCATCATCACGGCACCGGCGCCCTACCAGGATGGTAAGGGACAGCAGAAGTTCCGTTAGGATCCCTGAGTTGCTTGGGGAAAACCATACAGCTTTGAGGGCTGCTCCAAGCCACGAGCAAACCGTCGATTACCTCGTTTAAACAACAGGAAGGTCTAGGAGTCCAGGTGATTCGGTCAGAGACCGAATCGCCTTGTAATGTAAGGATCCCTGTTAATTTTATCCCTGTTATCCTTCAAGATTGGCCAACCACTGGTGTTCTTTTCTTCCATGCCCAACTGTTTAGTTTTGATTGCCACAGGTGTCCACTTCAGCATGCCCACCCTTTGGTGCATTTTGCCAAGGGCTGTTAAGACTTTAACTTTTTGCCAACTAATCGGTTTTTCACTAAACCACTAAAGGTTGAACACTTTTAGCAGGGGAGCAGAAAGCAACATACCCACCCGTGTTTCCGCCAGGTTCAGCATGTACGCTTCCATCTCCTCCCACAGCTTCGGAGCCGGGGAGCCTCATGCGAGCGGAGCGGAGCGCGCGGAGGTTTTCTCCCTTTTTTTCCGAAACAGCACGGCTTCCAAGGTGGGACCCCCAGCCATCCGGTCATCTTTGGTTTTTAGGGTTTGTCTTTTTTTTTTGGTTTACCCTCCCATCAAACTAGCATGGAAGTGCACAAACCTTTCCAAGAGGAAAGTAATCTTTCCACAGGGGTCTGTGCAATTCCATGTTAGTCGGTGGGAGGGTAGTGGGAAGGGGCATTTGTGCAATGAAGACACCTTGCCTCGAACCAACACACCCGAACATTTGTGCAATCAACATGCTGGTGCGATAGGTAGGGAATGAGAACTGGAATGAACCCTTCTGGCATTCCCTTAAAGGAAACAGATGGTTGGTAGGAGCCATTCTCTCGTTCCTTGCTGAGCACCAGCAAGTCAAAACACCGAAGCCACAAAAAACCAAGCCGAATTTCTATCTACCTGGCTTTGATCATCCTTAGCGGAGCAACCCTGAGTTTGTCTTCTTGGGGTGCAGTGGATGCCAGCACATCCTCAAGAAAGAGGCATCCTCATTCAGTTAAGGGATCCCGAGCCGTTTCCCCTTTTTGGACCTTCAGAAGTGGAAATTTCAAGGGACACCACCAGTCAAACGCAACTTTTGAGGGGGAAACACAGTGACCCACGACGACTTTGCCGTGGTCAAAACTCTGCGTGTTTTGTCATGGTCGCGGTTCCGGAACCTCAGGCATGGCACATGGTTTTGAGTGACTCAACGCTAGGGGATCTGAAGAGGGCAACGGGGAGCCTAAGGAATTTCATCCAAAATCTCACTTTCTGAGTTCACGGACTTTACACTTTTTGGGTTTGGACCTTTTTAAGTGGCAAAGAAACAGACTCCAGGCTCCAGACTTTTTTTGGGGGGGCCATCCACCCAAAAAGCGAGAAAAAACATGGGTCTGCTGTACGGAACCTGCGCTCGGGAGGAACTAGCTCAGGTGCGGCTGCTCACGCGCTTCGTGCGCCTGCCGATTCCGGGCAGCCAGCAGCCGGGATCCCAGCGGTGTCGAGCGGATTCCTGCGCTGTGGACCTCAGCGAGGGATTCGCAGATTGACCCCGGAGGAACAAGCCCCTCGTATTCATATGGGTTATGGCTCAGAATTAAACCAGGGCAGCGCAGGTTTTCGTCCCTGTGTCCATGTACCTTTGTAGATGGGTCACAATTACACCACCGTGGCAGCGCAGGTTTTCGTCCATGTGTCCATTTACCAGGGTTCCATGTTGGGTACCTATTTTTGAGCCATACTGTGGGATGGTTGACGTTGGGGAATCGAATCATTCCAGGGTATATTAGGTGGTGCGACGCGCATTTCGTCCATTTACAATCCGGGGTGGGGGCCCCTGCAACAGTCATGGTTCTCCACTAAACCCAGGGACACCCCACAAAAAACTAGCTGGGGTTGATGAATCTGATTTCAACACTTCCCTGGGTGGTGAATTTCCCCAAACGGGCCTTGGGGAAATAAACGCAGCTGGAACCTGGGAGAGGCCAAAAGTGAAGTGCGGGGTCCCGTTCAGCAGGGTCCCGGTGGCATCCGAAAGGAACTCCTTTGGCCATGGGTCAAAACCAATGGTACCATTTTGGGGTAGGGGTTGCATCCGAAGCTACGTCCCCCAGTGCCCTGTTACCTCTTTTTGGGAGGCTTCCCCTACTAAGAAAGACTATAGAAAAAAGTCGGTACCCTTATTCTAACCTTCTACTGGAGGATCTAGTTAAAATGACGGGAAAACTCCCATGTGACTCCACCCATTTTAGTCTGTATTATAGTGGAGATTGGGATGTTCACTGGGGGTACGGGCTTTTGACCCATGGCCATTTCTTCGTGCACCCCTGCAACGGGTCACCTTAAAAGGTCACAAATCGACATCCTCGAGGCTAAGGGCACCTGACCCAAAACAGACGCCCTCGAGGGAAGAACCGAGACAGTCAAAGCCCTTCTGGCCGTTTTGCGGTTTGGTTTTGGGGTCCAAGTCTCCAAGCCCCAACCAGGAAAAGAAACGGCCAACCTCATTTTTTAGCGTTTAACACCCTCTTTTTTTTTGCGGGGGGGGGGATGGGGGATTGACCAGGCGGAAAACGGGAGGGTTTTGGGCCTTGGGTTTCCTGGGCGTGTCCTTGGCTCCTTTTTGGGGGGTTCCTCTTCGTTTCCCCGTAGCTGCCCCGGTTTTTTCTTGGGTTGAACGGGCTGGGGGGGAGGGAGGTGGCAGGGAAGAATGAGTCCTATGCGTCGCCGCGCGTTTTTTTGCATTTGAGCACCACTTCATGTTACATGCTCATGCACTCACACGCACACCAAAACTCTATTCCCACATGGTGCTACAGAGATAATATGCGCTTACCATGCACAAGGATACTGCTGAATAAATAGACACTTGGTTCAAACATGTGTGTTATTTTCTCGTGTGCATGTTTCAATTTCAATTTCATGACCAGCAAAAGAAATGCAAGCACGCAGCTAAGTAATATTGTCCGTGGCCTAACACAGGGCACAGGCGTGCAGCTAGGTTCGATGTCAGGAGACTGACAAAGGCCACAGGTGCACAACTAAGTCCTGTTTGCTAAGTATTCTACTTATCATCAGTCTTCGAATTCATTCTTATCATTCTTCCCAAAGGGACGGGTGACTTTTGGGGAATTCAAATATTGTTTGTTTTAATCATTTCATTTCTTAGACTTGCTCTAAGTATTCGAACCACTGCCAAAGGGACGGGTGCCTTTTTTGGAATTCAAGAGTCCTCTGCGCTAACTGTTCTACTTATCATCAGTCTTCCAATTGTAATTGTTATTCCCAAAGGGACGGTGCCTTTGGGGAATTGAAGATTGTTTTTGCAAATTATACTACTTAGCAAAACTCTTGTAATTGTTTTTGTCATGAGTTCCAAAGGGATGACTTTGGGGAATTCAATATTCATGTTTGCTGGTTGCTTTTGTAAACTATTCTACTTATCATTATTCTTCTAATGCATTCTTATCATTCTTCCCAAAGGGACACGTGACTTTTAGGGAATTCCAAATTCATGTTTGTTCTAATCATGTATTTCTTAGACTTGCTCTAAGTCTTCGAACCACTCCCAAAGGGACGGGTGCCTTTTTGGGAATTCAAGAGTCCTCTGTGCTAATTGTTCTACTTATCATCAGTCTTGAAATTATAATTGTTTTCCCAAAGGGACGGGTGCCTTTGGGGAATTGCAGATTGGTTTTGCAAATTATACTACTTAGCATACCTCTTCCAACTAGTTTTCTCATGAGTTCCAAAGTCATGACTTTGGGGAATTCAATATTCATGTTTGCTGGTCGTTGTTGAAAATTATTCTACTTATCAGAACTCTTCTAATTCATTCTTACCATTCTGCCCCAAGGGACGGGTGACTTTTGGGGAATTCAAATATTGTTTGTTCTAATCAGTTCATTTCTTAGACTTGCTCTAAGTATTCGAACCACTGCCAAAGGGACGGGTGCCTTTTTTGGAATTCAAGAGTCCTCTGAGCTAACTGTTCTACTTATCATCAGTCTTCCAATTGTAATTGTTATTCCCAAAGGGACGGTGCCTTTGGGGAATTGAAGATTGTTTTTGCAAAATATACTACTTAGCATGCATCTTCTATCTTTTCTTCATGAGTTCCAAAGTGGGACGGGTGACTTGGGAAATTCAGTATTCATGTTTGCTGGTTGTTTTTGTAGATTATTCTACTTATCACTCCTCTTCTAATTCATTCTTATCACTCTTCCCCAGGGGGGGATTCAAAATTCTCTTTTGTTCTAATCATTTTTTCTTAGACTTGCTCTAAGTCTTCGAACCACTGGCAAAGGGACGGGTGCCTGCTTTGTTATTCCCAAAGGGACGGGTTCCTTTGGGGAATTGAAGATTGGTTTTGCAAATTATACTACTTAGCATACCTCTTCCAACTAGTTTTCTCATGAGTTCCAAAGGGGTGACTTTGGGGAATTCAATATTCATGTTTGCTGGTTGTTTTTGTAAAGTATTCTACTTATCAGAACTCTTCTAATTCATTCTTATCATTCTTCCCAAAGGGACGGGTGACTTTTGGGGAATTCCAGTTATTGTTTGTTCTAATCATGTATTTCTTAGACTTGCTCTAAGTCTTCGAACCACTCCCAAAGGGACGGGTGCCTTTTTGGGAATTCAAGAGCCCTCTGTGCTAACTGTTCTACTTAACATCAGGCTTCCAATTATAATTGTTATTCCCAAAGGGACGGGCGCCTTTGGGGAATTGAAGATTGTGTTTGCAAATTATACTACTTAGCATACCTCTTCCAACTAGTTTTCTCATGAGTTCCAAAGGGATGACTTTGGGGAATTCAATATTCATGTTTGCTGGTTGTTTTTGTATTCTACATATCATTACTCTTCTAATTCATTCTTATCATTCTGCCCAAAGGGACGGGTGACTTTTGGGGAAATCCAAATATTGTTTGTTCTATTGATTGTATTTCGTAGACTTGCCCTAAGTATTCGAACCACTCCCAAAGGGACGGGTGCCTTTTTGGGAATTCAAGAGTCCTCTGTGCTAATTGCTGTACTTCTCATCAGTGTTCTAATTATAGTTGTGACCTCTTCCAACTAGTTTTTCTCATGAGTTCCAAAGGGATGACTTTGGGGAATTCAATATTCATGTTTGCTGGCTGTTTTTGTAAATTATTCTACTTATCATAACTCTTCTAATTCATTCTCATCATTCTTCCCACAGGGACGGGTGACTTTTGGGGAATTCCAGTTATTGTTTGTTCTAATCATGTATTTCTTAGACTTGCTCTAAGTCTTCGAACCACTCCCAAAGGGACGGGCGCCTTTTTGGGAATTCAAGAGTCCTCTGTGCTAATTGTTCTACTTATCATCAGTCTTCTAACTATAATTGTTATTCCCAAAGGGACGGGGGCCTTTGGGGAATTGAAGATTGGTTTTTGCAAACTATTCTACTTAGCATACCTCTTCTAACTAGTTTTCTCATGAGTTCCAACGGGACGGGTGCCTTCTGGGGAACTCAAGAGTCCTGATTGCTAATTGTTCTACTTATCATCAGTCTCTAAGTGCACTTGTTTTCCCAAAGGGACGGGTGCCTCTCGGGATGGAATATTCATGTTTGCTAACTACTCTGCTTATCATAACTCTTCTAGTTCTTCTCCCAAGGGACGGGTCACTCTTGGGGAAGTCCAAATTAATTGTTGTTCTAAACATTGTGTGTCTTATACTTGTTCTCAGTGTTCGAACCACTGCCAAAGGGGCGGGTGCCTTTTTGGGAATTCAAGAGTCCTGTTTGCTAATTATCATCAGTCTTCTAATCATAATTGTTATTCCCAGAGGGACGGGTGCCTTTGGGGAATTGAAGATTGTTTTTGCAAATTATACTACTTAGCACACCTCTTCTAAGTATTCTCTCATGAGTTCCAAAGGGATGACTTGGGGGAATTCAATAATATTCATGTTTGCTGGTTGTTTTGTAAATTATTATACTTATAACTCTTCTAATTCGTTCTTATCATTCTTCCCAAAGGGACGGGTGTCTTTTGGGAAGTCAATTTTCTAATCATTTTATTTCTTAGACTTGCTCTAAGTATTCCAACCACTGCCAAAGAGGCGGGTGGCTTGTTGGGAATTCAAGAGTCCTCTGTGCTAATTGTTCTACTTATCATCAGTCTTCTAAATATAATTGTTTTTCCTGAAGGGGCGGGTGCCTTTGTGGAATTGAAGATGGCTGTTGTGCAAATTATACTACTTAGCATACCTCTTCTAATTAGGTTTCTCTTTATTTTGAAATGGACGGGTGACTGTTACATTGGTGGAATTCCAAATTTATGTTTGCGCTAATCATTGTGCGTCTTATAATTGCTCTAAGTATTCGATCCACCCCCAAAGGGACGGGTGCCGTTTGGGGAATTCAAAAGTCCTGTGTGCTAAGTATTCTACTTGTAAACCGTCCTCTAAATACAAATGCTAGTCTCAAAGGGACGGGTGCGTTTGGGGAATTAAAGATTGATTTTGCAAATAATAATACTTCTCATAACTCTTCCAATTAATTCTTCTCATTACTCCCAACGGGTGCCTCTTGGGGACTTCCAGATTCATGCTTGTTCTCATCATTCTACGTCTTTTCATTGCTCTAAGTATTCGAACCACTCCCAAAGGGACAGGCGTCTTTTGGGGAATTGAAGAGACCTGTTTGCTAAACAGTCTACGTATCATCAGTCTTCTAAATATAATTGTTATTCCCAAAGGGACGGGTGCCTTTGGGGAATTGAAGATTGTGTTGCGCAAATTATTCTACTTATTCCGAACTCGTCTAGTTAATTATTCTCATTATTCCCAAAGGGGCGGGTGCTTTTGGGGACTTGCAGATTCATGTTTGTTCTAATCATTCTAAGTCTTTTAATTGCTCTAAGTATGCGGACCACTCCCAAAGGGACGGGCGCTTTTTTTGGAATTCCAGGCCAGTCTTTCACCAAGGGACGGGAGCAGTTGGCGAATTCCAGAATCATGTGTTTTCTAATCATCCTTCGTCTTCTTCCCAAAGGGACGGTTGCCTTTTGTGGAGTTTCAGATTCAAATTTGCTCTAGTTATTCTACTTTTTACAACAATAATCATTCTCTAACTTGTTCCAAAGAGGGGTACCTTTTTGGGAAATCCAGCATACATATTTGATAAAGTTATTCGAATCATTCAAACAACTCGAACAATTCTAATGGTTCTGGATACTTTCAATTGGCCGGGTGCCATTTGGGGAAGTCCAGATTCATGTTGCGCTAATCATTCTACTTCCCTAGTTATTCAAATTTATTGATTTCTTCTTAAAGAAAGGGTGCCTTTTGGGGAAACCAGATTCATGCTTCTTGTAACTTGTTTTTGTGGATTTCCAGGCTCTTCTGTTCTGATTTCTAAGTGTTCCCAACGGCACGGGTCCCTTCTGGGGAATTTCAGATTAATGGTTGCTCCCATGATCCCAATTATGTTCTTCCTTCTATGTATTCCCAAAGGGACGGGTGACGCGCGCCTTTTGAGGAATTCCAATTCCAGAGTCATGTGTGTGTTCCAATTATTCCTATCTACTCAAATTATTCTAACTATTCTTAAAGGATCGTGTACTTCTTGAGGAATTCAAGATCTTATACTTATTATACGTGTTTTGCTTTTGCTTTTTCAAAGTACTCAAATTCTTCCAAGGTGAATTCCAATAACTCCAAAAATTGCAATAGTTGGGGGTCCCGGATTTTGCAATTAATTATTGCAATTATTGAAAGTCAGTTGCAATTGTTGCAAATATTGGAAATAGTTGGCCTGGATTGGGGCCAAATCTGGGATCAATTCATATCTACAATGGAAGTATTGGAATTCAACTCCAATGATTGCAATAATTGTAATATTTGAAGGTCCCGGATTTTGGAATTATTGCAAATAGTGGAATTGAATTCCAATAATTGCAATAATTGAAATATTCGGAGGTCCCGGATTTTGCAATTATTGCAATTATTGGAATTCAATTCCAATAATTGCAATAATTGCAATAATTTCAGGTCCCAGATTTTGCAATTATTGCAATTATTGGAATTCAATTCCAATAATTGCAATATTTGCAATATTTGGAGGTCCCGGATTTTGCAATTATTGGAATTAGTCGGCCCGGCTTTGAGGCCAAATCTGGGATCAATTAATTATTGCAATTATTGCAATTATTGCAATTATTGCAATTATTGGAATTGAATTCCAATAATTGCAATAATTGCAATATTTGGAGGTCCCGGATTTTGCAATTATTGGAATTGAATTCCAATAATTGCAATAATTGCAATATTTTCAGGTCCCGGATTTTGCAATTATTGCAATTGTTGGAATTGAATTCCAATAATTGCAATAATTGCAATATTTGGAGGTCCCGGGTTTTGCAATTATTGCAATTATTGGAATTGAATTCCAATAATTGCAATAATTGCAATATTCGGAGGTCCCGGATTTTGCAATTATTGCAATTATTGGAATTCAATTCCAATAATTACAATCAATAATTTCAGGTCCCAGATTTTGCAATTATTGCATTTATTGGAATTCAATTCCAATAATTGCAATAATTGCAATAATTTCAGGTCCCGGATTTTGCAATTATTGCAATTATTGGAATTGAATTCCAATAATTGCAATAATTGCAATATTTTCAGGTCCCGGATTTTGCAACTATTGGAATTAGTCGGACCGGCTTTGAGGCCAAATCTGGGATCAATTAATTATTGCAATTATTGCAATTATTGCAATTATTGCAATTATTGGAATTGAATTCCAATAATTGCAATAATTGCAATAATTTCAGGTCCCGGATTTTGCAATTATTGCAATTATTGGAATTCAATTCCAATAATTGCAATAATTGGAGGTCCCGGATTTTGCAATTATTGCAATTATTGGAATTCAATTCCAATAATTGCAATAATTGCAATAATTTCAGGTCCCGGATTTTGCAATTATTGCAATTATTGGAATTAGTCGGCCCGGCTTTGAGGCCAAATCTGGGATCAATTAATTATTGCAATTATTGCAATTATTGCAATTATTGCAATTATTGGAATTGAATTCCAATAATTGCAATAATTGCAATATTCGGAGGCCCGGATTTTGCAATTATTGCAATTATTGGAATTGAATTCCAATAATTGCAATAATTGCAATAATTTCAGGTCCCGGATTTTGCAATTATTGCAATTATTGGAATTGAATTCCAATAATTGCAATAATTGCAATATTCGGAGGTCCCGGATTTTGCAATTATTGCAATTATTGGAATTAGTTGGCCCGGCTTTGAGGCCAAATCTGGGATCAATTAATTATTGCAATTATTGCAATTATTGCAATTATTGCAATTAATTCCAATAATTGCAATAATTGCAATAATTTCAGGTCCCGGATTTTGCAATTATTGCAATTATTGGAATTGAATTCCAATAATTACAATAATTGCAATATTCGGAGGTCAATTATTGCAATTATTGGAATTCAATTCCAATAATTGCAATAATTGCAAAATCCGGGACCTGAAATTATTGCAATTATTGCAATTATTGGAATTCAATTCCAATAATTGCAATAATTGCAGAATCCGGGACCTGAAATTATTGCAATTATTGCAATTATTGGAATTCAATTCCAATAATTGCAATAATTGCAAAATCCGGGACCTGAAAATATTGCAATTATTGCAATGATTGGAATTCAATTCCAATAATTGCAAAATCCGGGACCTGAAATTATTGCAATTATTGCAATTATTGGAATTCAATTCCAATAATTGCAATAATTGCAATAATTGCAATAATTGCAATAATTAATTGATCCCAGATTTGGCCTCAAAGCCGAACCAAATAAATCCAATAATTGCAATAATTGCAAAATCCGGGACCTCCGAATATTGCAATTATTGCAATTATTGGAATTGAATTCCAATAATTGCAATAATTGCAAAATCCGGGACCTGAAATTATTGCAATTATTGCAATTATTGGAATTCAATTCCAATAATTGCAATAATTGCAAAATCCGGGACCTGAAATTATTGCAATTATTGCAATTATTGGAATTCAATTCCAATAATTGCAATAATTGCAAAATCCGGGACCTCCGAATATTGCAATTATTGCAATTATTGGAATTCAATTCAATTGCAATAATTGCAATAATTGCAATAATTGCAATAATTAATTGATCCCAGATTTGGCCTCAAAGCCGGGCCGAATAATTCCAATAATTGCAATAATTGCAAAATCCGAGACCTCCAATTATTGCAATTATTGCAATTATTGGAATTCAATTCCAATAATTGCAATAATTGCAAAATCCGGGACCTCCGAATATTGCAATTATTGTAATTATTGGAATTCAATTCCAATAATTGCAATAATTGCAAAATCCGGGACCTGAAATTATTGCAATTATTGCAATTATTGGAATTCAATTCCAATAATTGCAATAATTGCAATAATTGCAATAATTGCAATAATTAATTGATCCCAGATTTGGCCTCAAAGCCGGTCCGACTAATTCCAATAATTGCAAAATCCGGGACCTGAAATTATTGCAATTATTGCAATGATTGGAATTCAATTCCAATAATTGCAATAATTGCAAAATCCGGGACCTGAAATTATTGCAATTATTGGAATTGTTGGAATTCAATTCCAATAATTGCAATAATTGCAAAATCCAGGACCTGAAATTATTGCAATTATTGTAATTATTGGAATTCAATTCCAATAATTGCAATAATTGCAAAATCATTATAATTTCACTTCAACAATTCACTCAAAGCTGGAGCCAGCCTGAACGACACATAGGGTATGATCTTCCCTCTTACGGGGGAGGGAGGGGTTTGACCCAAATTTGGAAAAGGGAGGTTTGGAAAAGGGAGGGAGGGACACGGGGTGAACAAGTTGAGGGGTTGACCAGGCAGCGGGGGGTTGGGGGCTGGGCCTTGGGCCTTCGGCCCAGCCCACGACTCCACTGCGAGGATGAGCGCGCTGAACGCCCGGCTCACGGACTTCGAGAGCCGGGGGGTCCCAGCCCCGCAGGTTCGCCGCAGGTTCCCCGCTAACAGGCTCGCTCACGCGGCGGATGGACCCATTTGGTTCAACGTGTTTTTGTTTTGTGTGTTTTTTTTAAGTTGGTTGAGTGTTTTTTCGGTTGGTTGAGTGGTTTTTTAGTTGGTTGAGCGGGTTTTTAGTTGGTTGAGTGGTTTTTTAGTTGGTTGAGTGGGTTTTAAGTTGGTTGAGTGTTTTTTTTAGTTGGTTGAGTGTTTTTTTAGTTGGTTGAGTGTTTTTTTAGTTGGTTGAGTGGTTTTTTAGTTGGTTGAGTGGTTTTTTAGTTGGTTGAGTGGTTTCTTAGTTGGTTGAGTTGTTTTTTAAGCTGGTTGAGCGGGTTTTTAGTTGTGGTTGAGTGGTTGGGGTTTCAATATTTTACCCACTATTTGATCCAGAAACCCTGGAATCAATCCAATCTGAACCAGTAGGTCAAGCTGAGCTAAAATGGACTGTGGATGGTTGCGATACCGTTTCGCACAACCGTTCAGAAATATTCTGGAATGATTCGATTCCCCAATGTCAATGCCAACAAACAATAGTTTCAACCGTGGTTTCATTTCGGAGGTGCGAAATGGATTTCAATACCATCCACAGTCTTTTGGTGAGGAATGCTTGTGTTTTTGAGGGGACTGGGTCCCCTGAGAAATAATTGCGGGTGTATTTTATCAGGGGTCAACATTATATGGTTGTGTTTTTGTGTTCAGGGCTTTCATTTTGCAAGCTGGCAGGACCTTTTGCTGGGGGGGGGGCCCTATTTTGCGACAAGCCCCGTTTTTTGACAACACCAAGAGAAACTGCAATTTTGTTTTTTGGGACAGTCCCTCATTTAGAGAAATCTCTTTGCAGTGGATACAAAAAACATCACCTTTTGGCAACGGAGTAAGGCGAGTTGCCTTCATTCAAGACTTCATGGACTTTGCATTTTGTGAAAAGACAATTTAGTGAAACAGTTGGCTTGTTTTTACCAATCCACTCAGGAAGTGAGGGGAACCCAGTCTAGGTCCCCCAGCTAGGTGCCCTTTTACTGTTTCTCTTTTTGGGGAGGGTTCCCCAACTAAAATAAACTACAGACAAAAGGGCACCCTTATTCTAACCTCTCTACTGGAGGACCTAGCAGTACTTAGCCTTTGTTGGGGATATGATGTCGGTTTGGCCGGATTTTCTATCTTTGCCCATTCCTTCTTTTGGGGACAACGTTGAGGTAGGCTGGGTGAAAGCAGATGCCAGACTTGCAACTTATAAGCACCCCCGCCCTTGAGTACAGGACTTTGTTTTTCAAGTGTACAAGGCCGATTGAGACTTCATTCCACACACACACACACACCCGTTACTTACGCCCTTGACGCATTGCAAAATCCATCGAGTGGACTTGTAAGCCTAGTTTGGCCTGCGTGCTACATAGCCAATACTTGTCCCAAAACGAATCCAAAGCAAGATGAATAATTATTATTTTATTCCCGGGTCGGAAAAAAAAATACACCTAACACTGGCACATGCATAAACCCTTTGAAACAGCTGGTAAAGAGTGTTTTTTTCTTAATTTGGCAACAAATTCTGGAATTCAAGCCACCATCAAAACAAGGATTGGGTTCATAAAGCCATCATTGCCCCAAGGTTTCCTTTTAAGGAACACCGCAAACGCCCGGTTGCGAGGTCAGGGAACCAACATCATGCGCATCCCCTTTGTCCAGGGGGTGCCCAACTGGCAGGGTCGGCCTCTCGGAGCTCGTGGCTGGGGGTCTGCCAAAAACGACCCGGCCCTTGACGTTCTTCCCAGCTCCGGGTGGTGGTTTTTTGTTTGCTGAAAGTGTTATCATGTACTTGTCTGGAGGGGAGGCCCCCCCCATTACTGCCATTTGTTTGGGTTGTCAAAACTGCTTTCTTTTCAGGTCATGAACTCATTTCCAGGACTCCTGACGCAGGTTTTTGGCGAACAGAATTTACCAGAAGGTTGAGCAAAGGTTTTAAGATGAGGAAGTGTCTTTTCGGTTCAGCAAGTATGGACCAGACACAAAGCGCATTTCTTTAGGCTTGGCGGGGAGCTGAGGAAGGTACGGTGTGGCTGGGCTGTTTCAGTGAGGTAGGCAGTGACAGAGCAAGCCAGTGCCGGGCGATCCGGGCGATCAGCGGCAGGTTTCCAATCGCTGAATGCTTTGCATCACTCACTTGCCCAAAGCCGACCATATCTAGGTCCCCCCAGCTAGGTGCCCTCTTGCCCTTTCTTGGGAGGGTTCCCCTACTAAAATAGACTACGGAAAAAAGTCGGTACCCTTAGTTCAACCTCTCTACTGAAGGACCTAGTTGCCATCTTTTGGTTTTCATGGTTGGGTCCATTTATCGTCAAGGTTCCAGAAGCTTCGCCTTGTATTTTGGGGTCCTCTGGGCAACTGAGAAAAGGACACCAACCATTGTAGGGGGCCCATTCCTGGTTTGAGGGTATATTTGGATGTGGCTGTTGAGGGTGCCCTTTTCTTGGCCAACAGACAAGTTGTGACTTGGTCGGATGGTCCCTCGCCAAAGCCGATCGTTGCATTCGTCGAGGAGATCTGCGTGATCTCTTGGATCTTTCCGTTTAGCTCATGGGCGCCCAGGGAAAATGCGGAGACCTCGTTGCCGTGGTTGTCGTTGGGACACATGTGTTTGCATTTTTGCTTATTGTGGTTTAGTGGCTGAAATCCAACCACTTAACTGCTAAAATGTATTTTTTTGCTCCCCTTCCAACGTCAACCAAGATTACAGCCGTGGTTTCTTCTGTTGACAAGGATATCTGGCACAGTCGCGTCAACTCGCTGGATGGAGATGGATCTCCTGGTTCGTTTGAAGCAAAAGTTGGCCCCACACCGCCCCACTCCCACTCCCCACTTCCCATTCTCCACTTCCCATTCCCCACGCCCCAAACCACTCGAGCAATTCTGGCGCACTCTCCCTCTCCCCGGGCTGCGAATCGTCGAGCCTCGCCGCGAACCCCGCGAGGCCGGAACGACGCGGACAAGGACCCAGCGAGGTCTTCTAGAGGGCAGGGGGAGGCGCGGGAGGTTGCGGATTGCTGCGTGCGTGCCGGCGGGTAGCTTTGAGGATTCAGTAGTTGGTGTGTTCGGTTTGTTGGGCTTGCTTGTTTTATTTTTTTCTTTTCTGGCTTGTTTGTTTTTTGTTGTTGTGGTTTGCTTGTTTGTTTTGTGTGTTGTGTGGTTTGCTTGCTTGTTTGAAAGGGATATCAGCTTGTTTTCGCAGTAACCTGGTGGATTGGCCCAACGAAGACAAGGGGCACATCTACTCCCACCTGGCTGCCTACCTCCACCTTCGCGGACTCTTCGGCCTGGGGACGGGTCTCGGCTGAGCAGGTCAGAATGCTCTTGCCCTTTGCAGACCACTGGGTGATCCGGACTCTCCGCGCTCTCCCTCTCCTTGCAAAGGACGAACTTGGTCAACTCGGCGCGGCTACGGGGGCTCTAGGCCTTTCGAAGGTTCGAAGGTCATCCAGAGAGAGAGAGAGAGAGAGAGAGAGAGAGAGAGAGAGAGAGAGAGAGCCGTTTTGCGGACAGTCTCCACAGTCGTGTTTGGGCAAACTAGGGGAACCCGCAAAACAGTGTGGTTCTCCTTTTGGTGTCTTTTGAAGCCAACTTTGCAAAGGTCACGCGGACTGGGGCGAGGGAGGATTTGAGCTGCCTCGCCCCTCCCCCCTGACCCCGTGAAAAGGGACATGTTAACAATGTTGACCCCTTATTCATAAACCCTTGAGTATTAATATGGGCGTGTCCCTGGGTTATCCTGGGTTTAGTGGGGAATCAACACTTTTGGAGGGGAACACCCCCTAAAAATTAGAAGGGGGGTTGATTAATGTGTACTTGGTGGCTCCCAGCCATCCGGTTCCTTCGCCTGTTAGCCTTTTAGTGTTTAGTGGTAGTTTCCATTTCACCCACTGCAAGTCAGGCCGGCAAGCTAACCGGGCAGCATGGAGGTCACTAAAAGTCATTTTCACTTTCCGCGGGGGATCAGTTTACAGCCCAGAGAAGACACAGCCACTCCTTCGACTCGCAGGGAGATGAGGAGTACTTCCCGGCGGTGATCAAGCCGGGGGAGGTCAAGCAGCAGGTGAGACCCGGGGTGCGTGTGGTTGTGTGTGTGTGAGTGTGCAGCGTGGGTAAGGTTTTCCACTTGGGATTGCACCAAGGTAGACTTGAACCCAGGGGTTCATTTCCCCTTTGAGTTTGTGCGTTTTTGTTGGTGTGTAGGGTTTAACCTTCTTTGCTCGCCGGGTATCATTTTTAGTTAGCACCTCAAAAGTGGCAAAGCTGGACATTGTTTCCTCCGAGTGATGTCCAAAGGCCCAGCTGGTGGTTGGTAATGTTGACCGATGAACAAACCAACCTGTTTACTCTCCGGGGGTTCTTCTCCCTGTTTCTTTTGGAGGAGAGTGAGCCCCCACCGGCATCATATAAAGTACACACGGGCTTTGCTTCAACCAGCGCCGGCAAAAGGAAACCTTGGGTGGCACGGAGCCCAGTCCCATGCCATCGACCCATTCCCATCACACTCGGGTTGCAGAACGGATCCCGTGATCCTCACAGAAAAGCCCCCCATTTTTGGGGCGCAAGGGGACCAATTTGAAAGGAGACGAAGCTTTCAGCCAAAAAACAGCAAAGGTTGGCTGGTTGTGGTACTATTGGGTTGCTGGTTGGTTGGGTATTTGCAAGGATCCCCACAGAAGCCTCAAAAAAGGACCCCAAAAAGGGAGAAACCAACAACTCCTTTTTTGTTGTGGGTTTGGCTTCAAAGAAATGAATCTAAGAGCGCATGTCGTGGTTGCTTTCCATGTTTTGGCATCAGAGAAATCTGATCTTCGGACCCGGCTCTTTTTCTAGGGGTGGATTCCCCATTCTTTTCAACCATCGCTCTGTCAAAAAACCAGCTGTTTTCCCAGAGTTTTGGGTGGTTTTCTAGAAAGAAGGATCCCTGGAAAGAATGGGGAAGGTACCCCTAGACAAGTCGATGTTCCGAACCAGGACTTGCTGGAAGCTGGCGTGCCCGGGTACCAGGATGACGAAGGCTGCTTGCAGAAGGCGCGGAAAGAGAAGGGGGGCGATGGGTTCAACAGCCGCGTGAGAGCCGCATGCCAGCCCCAAAACCAGTGGTTTGCTTTGGTTTACAAAAAGCACGGCCCCAAAGGGAATCGGCTCCTAGGTGTTATTTTGGATCCCCTGTTGGTTTCCCTTTAGAGAACGGCCGCAAAAAAGGGGGTTTTCGTCAGAAATGACCGTGGCAAATCTTCGGCCTGGAGCTCACCGATCGAATTTGGAAACGACTGAGCTCGAGCTCAATGAAGGTCCGGTACCTACCGCCAGAACACCTCCAAACCACCAATCCATGTTTTTTTTGGTTGTTGTTTTTTTTTTTTGGGGGGGGGCAGCGGGTGGGGAGGGTTTAGATAGGCAAACCGTTTGGGCCTCGAGCGTGTCTGACTCTTGTTGATAGTGTTCGTTTTGGGTTTGGTGCAAACAGATTGTCACGGGACATCACGCTATGTTGGTGGATTCGCCTTATCAAAAAACCCTGGAACAAGGGTAGAACATGTCCCTGAAAAAAAAATGAAAGCACATTTTTGCCAATGTTCTACAACTAGGTCCCCCAGTAGTGCATTTTTGCATTTTTTGGGGGAAGGTTCCCATCCTAAAATAGACTACAGCACAAAGGGTACCCTTATTCCAATCTCTCTACTGGAGGGACCTAGACAAATTGCCAGAAATGAGGGTGACTGTACCGAGGCCTTATAAAGGGCACTATAAGCGCCCAATTGATTGGAAGGTTGTGGAGTACGTAAAGCCAAGTTGAGTCATCACACCTTCCATTTGCTTAAGAATATATGTGTTATTCTGCCTTGTTGGTTTTAAAGGGAATCTACAACTACTTGTTTAATATATATATATATATATACATATATGAATATATATATATATGTATATATATATATATGTTTTCCCGGGGGCTTCAGCAGATGGAAGACGCTGTCTTACTAAGATGGCCAAGGGGTGTGTGAACGCTCAATTTGGGTGCATTCGCGCCATCCAAGGCAAGGGAATTAAGTTGCTCCATGTGCATATCCTGGAGCGCAAACCGCAGTTTTGCCCAGAATGCTTCCCCGGATGAATCAACCCCTGAGTGATTGATGAGGGCTGGATGCCAGGAATGAAGCCGAGCAACAAACTTGTTCAAGATGATGCTACCCTTCCAACCCCTTCTGCCCACTTCCATGAGAATTGCAAAGATATGTTCATTGATCGCCTGTCTGCCCTTTCTGCGCCAGAATCTGTGGGTAGAAAACAGAGAAACGGTTTGAAATCACGCGGGTTTGAGTTTTGACACATACCGATTTCGTGCGGTATGTTTTTAGTTGCGGACTTGTTTCCTTGGTGAATCCGGAAAGAGTTTTTACCCTCCCTTCAAGACGAGATTCATCTTCCAGATACCTCCCCCTAGCTGCCATGTTAGTGGGAAGGAGGGTACATCCTCTATTTTTTTCTTTGAGCCAAGGGGCCGATTCGCTCAGATTCCCCCCCCCCCCCAGCGAGGCGGCGGTCAATCTGCCCGGCAAGCACATCAAGCTCTTCCGAGAGCCGCTTGGCCGCCTCTTCCCGGATCCTCAGAGCATTCCCTTGGCTCCTTCACTCGCTGGTGCCGGAGACTAGGTTCCCCAGTAGTGCACTTTTACCGTTTCTTTTTTTGGGCAGCGTTCCCCTACTAAAATAGACTACAGAAGAAAAGTTGGCACCCTTATTCTAACCTATCTACTGGAGGACCTAGAAGATGCAGGGAATGAGAAATGGTTTCTTCCCGAGGTGCATTCCCTCATTCCTACCTATCGCACTGGCTAGTTTTTTTTGGGAGGGGTTTCCTTTTTCAAGACCAGCTACCGAAGAACAGGGCCCCTGTTTTGTCCCAAGGCTTTGGGGGTTTGTTTGTTCGTCGCCTTTGTTGGGGCTGTTTCGGGCCATCTCGGCGTTTGGAGTTAAAGTTGGAGGAACCCTTGGTGCCACACATCGAGGCCAACTGGAAACCCACTCGGTTTGTGGCTGGTGGTTGGAATCCTCCGGTTTGCTCGTTTGCTCGTTGGTATCTGGGGCAAATGGCAATCCCCCGCTCATTTGCTCGTCCCCAAACACTAGCCCGGATGTCTGGTTTGTCTCCTGGGTCTGGAGAAAAGCGCACTTGTTGGAAGGGTTTGGCATGGTGCAGCTTCAGCTCGGGGGCGAGGTTGAAGTCTGGGGTCAAAAAGTGGAATATTGGGAAGGCATTCTCAGGACTATAGTCAGCAGAGCTCCGATCATTCCACCAGTGACGCTGGATTTGGGTGCGTCAGGGCACTTGTTTGGGATGCGTTTAACAGGCGATGGTATGGAGTACTTGGACAGCACAAGACCTAGTCGGGCCATCAAAGTTGGCGGTTCTTCCCCCCAGGTATCACCGGAACTGCTCACGCCGTCTCGCGGAGACCACAACAAGTCCGGCTACAAAGGGAAAGTAAGGGGACCACCACCAGTTTGGGGGATCCCCTATTTTAAGACACATCAAAGTTAGAAGCGGGTGTTTCCCTTGAATCAATTTGAGAATTCTGGATTGGGATTTGAACCCCCGGTTCTCATAGAGGGTAACATGGGAAACCACCCCTGAATGAATCAAACCACCAGGCTCCAAGCAACCAACTAGAGGGGAAACAGGGAAACTAACTAATGGCAAAGATATAGGGTGTCCTTTTTTCTGAGGACCCCCCGAAATAAGTGGCAGTCTCTTGCAAGATAACCCGCCCCCCTCTGCCCCCCCCCCATGCCATGCGCCAAGGCTGCAGGCCAAGTGGCAGTGCTACGATGCCTATGCGCGGGTCGGGAGGCCCAGGTGTGTGGCATTCTCGAAATGGCGTCAGTTTGCCGTGTTGGTTTGGGCGTCTTTTTTTTTCCGGTTTTTACATTAGAAATAGATGGGTTCCGCTGGTTTGGGTGCTTTTTTGTTTTTGTTTTTGGTTTTTTGATTAGAAATAGATGGGTTCCGCTGGTTTGGGTGCTTTTCTAGGCTGTTTTTAAACCACCTATTTGTCCGAAAGGTCACCTATTACCGTGTCGGTTTGGGTGTTTCTTCCAGAGTGCTTGTTTTGAGAGGGTTATCCGGTGCAATGAAGTGGCAAGGAACGGAACCCCTATTCAATCAATTCAGGCACAAAAATCCCAACTCGGATCGCGGTGGCCCGAACCGTGGCTGCATTTTAGTTTTGGCTAAGGGGCTCTCAACATCTGGGTGGTTTCCCTCTAAACCACCATGAATGTCGATGGTAATTGCGAGGGCATGGTTTTCCAGAGAACAGTGTTGCTCTAGATCCTGAACTTACATTACCGAATCACAAGGGTCTAGTCCTCTTGCTTTCCGTTTCCAGCTTACCCTTGCGACGGTCGGGTTTCGGAGCATCCCTTGGCATGGTTGTTGAAGAACATTATTACGTGTGGATCGCCGGAGAATCTCCCGTCCGGTTCCTTGTTGTTTTAGTAGACAACGATCAGCCGGCGGTCCCCGGCTGTGCGGAGTGGCTTTTGTGGTTGTTTTAGTGGTTGGAACCGTTTCACCGGCCAGAAGTTGAAGCTTTTGGCAGGGGATCTGAGCCTGGAGGAAGCTGGGGTTTCCCCCAAACGCCGTTCTGGTTGGCCAGCCTTAGTATTCCGTCGGGATCATGCGTTGCGGAGCCATGATTGGCAGTGGCCAAAACATTTGGGCGGCAGCGTCCAACAGCCGGGCGCCAGAGGGTTGCCACTTTGGCGGCTGGCGCTTAGGTCTGCATGTCCTTCGGGGTGAACCACGTGTGCATGACCATGTCCTACTACATGATCGGCCAGGGGCCCAAGCGGCCACGGGGGAAAAGCACTTGCTTGGCCGGGCACGGTTATGCACGTCAGGTAAGTGGTTAACTCGCAAGTCCCTGTGCGTGACAACTTGAAGCAAATTTCTGTTGACAGCAGACTATCAAACTCCAAGTTGTTTGTCGGGTCAGGTGGGCCCAAAGTCCATCCGAGGATTCCCACCAAGGGGACACTAGCGTTTCGTTTGAGCTTCGAAGGCACCGCTAGAACATGGGTTTCACTAGGGAAACCCAAGCATTGTAACGCGTCTCCTTTTAGCTTCCCTTACCTAACGATTTGCTTACAATTGCCGGATCTTTTCTTCGTGGGGACGAACAAGCAAATGGATCAACCACATAGAACAAGCTAGTGAAGCCGTGTACACCGAGCTCACTCGTTTCGGTAATTCGAGCTTGATGAAGATCCCCTTGTTCAGGTATTCCCGAATTGATGTTTTGGATTGGCGGTGTGAGGAGTTGAACCTCTGGCTTTTGTAAACTGTAAACGGGGGTCACTCTCCATTTCACCACCAAGCCACCGATTCTGCTCCACCCAAGCACGAGGGAAGCTGAAAAAAAATGGACAGCCTGTCGCTCAGGAACAAACTGAGCTGGTGATTTCTTTTGGGACTCCACCGTTCAGAAACCCTGGAATGATTCGACTCCGCCTGTAAATATCAACAAGCCACAGGATCTTGCATCCTTGGCGCACTATGACGAACAAGAAAATATATACCCACTAAAGTGATGAACAAAGAAAACATCGATTTCCTAGGGGTAGAGGTTGAACGATGGCCAGGCGGCTAGTTCAAGCATTTCCGGGGTAATAGAAACTGGGAATCGAAATCTGGTAGCTCAGAACCCTGCCTCCAGTTGTTCAGCGGCGCACTGTGTTTTTCCCTCGCTGCTTGATGGATTCGCTGCAACATCGCCAACCCCCCAAGCTCACTTCCTGAGTTCATGGAGTTGAAACTTTTTGGGTTTGGACCATTTGAGTGGCAAACAAGCAAAATGAACTTGTTTTGGCCAATCCACTCGATCGGAAGTGAGCAAAAGGGTTCCATTTTCTACCAGCGTTTTTCGAGCAACGTGCTTTCTGGCAGACCAATAGCATAGCAACAACGTTGGTCTTGTTGGGCCAATCCAGTCAAGTGACATTATCATGGTCGAGCATGTGTGTCTCTGGGCGAAACAAACAGCAAATCCGTGGAGGAATCTCCTTTTGAAGGACATGGCTGTGGCTCCAAAACATGTACTACAATGGCACCTTGGTAAATGGAACCAAAGGCTAAATCCTGCGGAACTGAACCCTAGCTCCCAAAAAGCCGGAGTTCCAAAGTGGCTTGCCCTGGTGGAGACATGGACCAACACCTCTTCAGCTCCCGGGGGGGGAAACCGTTGCCGCCAGGGGACTTCCTGAGTTCGGTGGCGGAGTCTACACGCTTGTTTTGGGGGCTGGGCCGGTTTAGTGGTAAACCACCAGCGGAGATGGCCAAGTTGCGGTTTTTTTTTTTTTTTCAGTCACTGCTGGTTTTTGGTGGGAAAGTGGCTGGAAAGAAGCGGTCGCAACTGGCGATCCAGGAGTTTGGTTGCTTTTTTCTGGTCACTCCACTCGATCGGAAGTGAGTTTTCGAGAAGCCCGCATTTGCCCCGTTTTTTTTGAAAAGAACGATGGTTGCAGAGAATGGGACTCAAGCCCTAGACTGCTGCACTTCAGCGGTGAGTCGGTGATGGAAAGCTGGGACCCGAGGGCTCACAGTCCTCGAGTACCGATCGTCCCGCGCTGAGATTCGATTTGATGGCGACGGGCGGGCTGTGGGCCAAAGTGACGCGGAAGGAGGGGCGACACAGTTGGAATCATTCCCCAAATTTCTGTCTTTGGCGCATTTTGCCAAGGGATGTTAGGACTTTGACCTGTTGCCAACTAATGGGTTTTCCCTTAAACCACTGAAAGTTACACTTCTAGCAGGGGAGCAGAAAGCAACTGAGCTGTGATACCAGAAACAAATAGGAAAAACACAGTTACTCGTTTTTTTTGTTCGGTGAAGAGTTGGTGATTGGAAGGCCTGATAAGTGGTGTCACACGAGTGGGCATTTACGGCAACCCCAGCTTGTTTTCTTTTGCATTGTTGTCGTTTTTGGAAAGCTGTGTTTTGAATGGATCCACCCCCTCTTCTTTGTGGGTCTTTTGCGAGGATGCCTTTTGGTTGAAGGCAGCTGTGGGCACTGGGGGTGTTGATGCCGTGCCCCTGTGACACGGCGTCAGCAGAAGCGCAGGCTGCGGATCTTCTATGAAAGTTGGTATGAACCGTCGCTGTTGCTGGCATGTTCTTAGGTTTTGTTTTGTTTAGTTTTGTTCATATTTGTGGTAGGAGGCTGCCAACAACAGGATAATAATCATCGCAGCTCATCTGAGCTTTGGACAATCTCGGCTGCCCTACTCAATGGGAGAGCACTTTTTTTTTGGGGGGGGGCCAAGGACCAAGCCAGGTTTGCGCTGGGCCTGGAAGAAAACGTGGGCATCTTCCCGAGAACGGGACCCGTGCGAAACTCACTTGGCCATGGGTCAAAATCCCGTACCTCCAGTGAACATCCCAATCCCCACTAAAATAGGTTCTAAAATGGGTGGTGAATTTACCTACCCCAAAATGGTACCATTGGCTTTGACCCACAGCCACTTCTCTCAACTCTTTGCCCCGAATGGCATGGTCGTTCACCTGGACTCTGGACAACCGAAAGCGTCTAAAAAGCGATTCCTCTAAACTTGGTGGTTCCCAGCCTTCTAAACTTGGTGGTTCCCAGCCGTCCTCTTAGGCTTTAGGTTTTTAGCTATGTAGGGTGTAGTAAGTGGTAGTTTCCACCAAACCACCAGAAGCTACACTTTTAGGTGGGGATCTGGGAACAGCGGAACAGCCCAGAGGTTTTCGGTTTTCGGGTTCCATGTTACAAGAGTATTGATGGAACCACGACCAACGCAGAACAGTGTGTGAACCACGGTGCACATTTGATCATTGTTCTCTATTCCACGATAGCCGCCAAATGTTCGTTGTCAACAATAATGCACAACCGACATATCCGGATGTGAAACCTTGGACCCTGCCGCCAAAGACAATTGGATCAACCACCTCCCAGAGGCTCCCGATTGATTTAGGGCCTTCAAACAACCTGGTTTTGAGACCCCCAACCACCTCGGGTGTCTAGGGGAGGGGGTCTTCCATTGAAAGCCGAAGCCAGGAGCCTCTGGGCTGTAAAAAAGTGGCGTCGGTGTTTGGCGGCACCGGGCAGAGGGCAAGTGGGTATGGGTCAAAATGAAACCACCAGGAAATGGACCGCAGGTTTTGGTCCGTGTTTCCACTAGGGCAACCCATTTGGGGGTTGCCCTATTCTTGACCCACGGCCAAATCACCACCATCAATCCACTCAAACCAGCAGTTTTGCTCAGGATTTAGGGGTTTGACAGTAGCTCAGGTGGTGCAACAGCTCCACTTACCAGGGCAACCCATTTTTGGGTACCTATTCTTGACGACCACACCCAAATCACCACCACCAATCCACTCAAACACATTGCGGGTTACCCTATTCTTGACAACCACACCAAGTGAAACCATTTCAGTCCACTCAATCCAGCCACTTTGCTCATTTCGGGGTGTGATAGTAGCTCAGGTGCAGCCAAGTGAAACCGTGGATCCTTCAGGCCTTCGATCATGTTTGCCCTGGTGACCATCTTCCAGCCGGGGACTTAGGGACCCAAACCGCTCTTTACTCCCGCTCGCTTTAACCGCGGCGGGAGGGGGGGGAGGAGGGGGTAGCCCGACTTGGGGCTGTGTATTTCTTTTGGCCCCCCGAAAAGAGCAAAAAAAAAGGAGCTTCCTTCTGACCTCCCTTCTCCCCCCCAAAAAAATAGAAAAAGAACAAGAAGAACAAAAAGCAAAACCGCCCAAGCTTGGGTTTGCCGGGCTTTACCTGATTTGGCCGCCATTTTTAGTCAAGGTTCTGAAACCTTTTATGTCTGGGGAGCAGAGTTGTGGGAAGGCCATGATCGTGGCAAACACGAAGTCTGGAAATTGTTTGTGGCCATCAACTCAAGCAGTGGACACAGTTGCACCGAAAAACCAAAGTCAGTAGCTTCCTGCGAGTTTCCCTTTCGCACCCAAAGCGGGTAGACCTTCTCAGGTTAGTCTAGGCCCCCCAGTAGTGCCCTTTTACATTTTGGTTGTGGGGGAGGGTTCCCCTACTAAAATAGACTACAGGAAAAAGGGTACCCTTATTCTAACCTCACTGGAGGACCTAGTAGTTAAATTGAAAGCTTTCCGAATGTCTCTGGACTTCTTGACATCCATCTGGGATGTCAAACTCGGGCACCATAGGTGGTTTCCCTTTGATTGCCCTCTTAAACATCCGGACCCCAAAAAGGGCACCTGAAGAACAAAAGAGACACCTGGAAAAAAGTACGGCGCTCCTCTTAGCTTCCATTCCATTCGGAACGCCCGCTTTGTTTGGCCGCAGTCAGTGCCGCTGGTTCCTGACACGGAAATCGGCCTCTTCACCTGCGCTTTGGTCAAACAGGGGGCCATGATTTGCATCCATTCCGGGGCTTATCAAAGTCAGAAACTGGTTGGTGGTTTCCCTTCAACCTGCGGGGTGACGTTGATGGTAGAAGAACGGGGCCAGAAAAAGGAAAAGGCCACGGTCCCTGAAGGTGTTTGACGCGCTGTGGGTTAAGCATGGTTGTCGTTGGGAAACGTTTTACATTTTTGCTTATTGTGGTTTAGTGGGAAATCCCCACTTAACTGCTCAACAAATGTTTTTGCTCCCCTTCCAACGTCAACCAAAAAGAGTTGGAACCAAAAGTGGTTGGACATGAATCCCCCCAAATTTTGATGTCCACTTCAAGGGGTCTCCCACCGTGGATGGTTGCGAAGCCCATTTCGCACCACCGTTCAGAAACCCTGGCATGAGTCGATTCCCCTGTAAATCCCAACAATGGTTTCCCGTGGTTTGAAAGTGGTGCGAAATGGACTTCGCCCATCCGCAGTTTAAGAGTATTCAGATTCACACCATATGATCAAAGCTTGATCTTCGATGAGTCCTTTACGAATTGGAGAATGACTCTTGCCGTTACCAGCTAGCAAACCAGCGAAGAGGAGAGGGTCAATTGGACCAACTTCCCATTTCCCTTCTCCAAAAGACGGTGAAACGGTTCAACCCTTCCCCAGGCTCAGGGTTTTCTTTTGCAGCTACCTAGTTGCAAGAATTCTGGGCTAAGGCTTAGCCACTTTCAGCGGGGTAGAAACATGGATGCCTTTCATACTGTGGATGGTTTTGCGAAATCCGCTTCTCGCTAGCCACTTTGAAACCATAGGAAGCCAGACCGTTGGTTGGTATTTACAAGGGAATCGGCATTCCGGGTTTCTTAGGTGGTGCGAAATAGATTTCGCAACCATCCACAGTATGGGTGAGTCGCTTTTTGTTTTTGGCGGAGGGGGGGGGTTTTGAAGTGGCTTAGGGAAATGTCAAAAGAGAAAGCCGAAGCCATCCAGGGGAGGGGTCCAAATCCTAAAGCAAGACTTAAAGGGCTTGTCTCAGGCGTTCCAATTTCTAGGTCCCCCCAGTGCCCTCTCTCACCCTTTGGGAGGGTTTCCCTACTAAAAACGACAGAAACAAGTTGGTACCAACTTATTCTATTCTCTCCACTAAAAACCTGCTTTTGTGAGAAAGCCATACGAAAAGGGGGGTTAATCCTTGAGCCACTCAAGGTGTTCTTCATGCCCCACGCCCGTCGCGTCGCATTCGATTTGATCCAAGGGCCACCAACCTGGCGCTGGCCTGGCTGGATGTGGCCGGCCGGGGCCTCACTGAAGCGGAAACGGGGCTCGAAGGGTTGGGCCTCGGGAAATTGACATAGACATGGTTGTTGTTGGGGCCGAAATTCACTCTAGGTCTCACGGACCAAGGACCAGCTGCTATATGGGTTGTGACCAGTGACAAGTTTAAGGCGACTTGTTGGGGGCCCATTTGATATTGGGCAACATTTTACATTCTTGCTTACTGTGGTTCTACATGTTTGCTTATGGTGGTTTAGTGGTTGAAGTCCCCACTTGACTGCTAAAAGTTTATTTTTGTTTTGCTCCGCTTCCCACGTCAACCAAGTGGATGTGGGAAAACAGTACTGCCCGAAAGCTTGCTGTAAAATGTCAAGGGTCACACCGAAAAACTGCTTTCCCTCAGATTCTGAGCAGTGCGACCCCTATATGATTGGTGCCCACCGGGGGGGGGGGGGAAGATAGGAGCCTCAAAAATCCAAGAGCACCAGAAATTGCCCAAATCCTGCCTTCCCCTCTCAGTTTCCTAATTCTGACTTGATGGCTCCCAGCCGTCCGGTTCCTTAGGTTTTGAGTTGTTTTTTGTCGGTTTAGTGGTTGGGTTTCCATTTGTTTAGCCTACGAAGAGTTAAACACATTGAAGACAGCCCAGTTGAGACAAACCCATATTTTCCCAAAGGTATTTTCACATCGAGCCCCATTTGCCTTTGGTTTCTTTTCTTGGAGGGCTCTGATTCAAACTAGAGCAAGCCCTTACAAACTAGAGCAAGCCCTTTGCTCATTTTTGCAAGTATCACATCTTGTAGGGTGGAAAGTAGGAATATACAACCCCTGCTTGGTTGCTACTGGGTTAGACTGTTAAACTGAGGCTTGTCAGGAAGCTGTGCGCCTCCCCACAAACCAGCAAACCGCTAACGAGGTTTTATGCAGGGTGCAATAGCCACAAAGCCTTGCATGTGCCTCATATGGTCACATCCCCACCTCCTTAAAGCTGACGCTGAATACTGGAGAAAGGGAATTGCGGGACCACGCAGCCCCCTTTCCCCCTTAACGTACTGTGGATAAACGCAATCCTGCATCACTTTTACACCACGGGAAACCATTGTTTCTTGGTAACAGGGGAATCATCATGCCAGGGTTTCTGACCGGTGGTGCGAAATGGGTTTCGTAATCATCCACAGTACTGTGGATGAACGAAATCCTGCACCACCCAAGAATCACTGGAATGATGATTCCCCTGTAATTACCAATCAGCACTGGTTTATCATGGCTTCAAAGTGGTGCGAAATGGATTTCGTCCATACACAGCAAGTAGGTCACCTTGCTTTTTGGGGGAATGTGATATCTGTGAAAAATGTCCCCGCGACCTCGCGAGGCCTGAAGCGCAAGACCACCTCCGCCCTGGAGCTGGTGGGCGCCGTGCCGAGATCTCAGCGCGCTCGCGTTAGCGCTGAGTGGACGAGGAGTCGCCCCCTTTTGGTCGGGCGTTTCGTTGGAAGGTACCCTCCCACCCTTTTCACCTGGAACACGTTCGGGACCCGGGCCGGTCCCAGCATGTCTGAGAGACATGTTTTCCCCTCCTCGTACGTAAGCATGTATGTACCTTGTGTGCCCTTTCTGGTTTTTTGCTTTGGTTTTTCTTATTCGGGGGGGGTTGCCCTGGCCGGAGCACAGGATGGCCCGATCGATCCCACTGCTTCCTTCTTCCCCCCAACAGTTCGCGGCTTTTGGTTCTCCGCGCCCTTGTCTCACGGAATTTTCGGGAAGGGGAGGGGATTTTTGGAGATCTTCCTTTGGTCTGCCGGTTTTTAGAGCAAGCTCACGAATCCGGGGGGTCTATCGAGGGAAACCCGTGATACATGGAATTTCTTGGAGATCCTAACTCTGAATCCAGGCTTTGGATTCGTGAAATCTTGCAAACATTTCCGGTGAGCTGATTTTCTCCAGCTCGGAATACTCAACAACTGCCTAGATATCCAAGTTGCTTTCTTTTTTGTTCAGTCACTGTTGCGATCGGTTTTTGGGGTAAAGTGGATGGAAAAAAGAAAAGCGATCGCAACTGGATCGATCCACGTGGTTCATTAGAAAGGTCCCCCCCCTTCCTCGGCTTGGCCTGCCATTCGGCGATTCGGCTCCCTTCGTTGAGGCCTCCCTTCGTCGCTTGCTGCTCGATGGTTTGGGCGCCCAATCGCGGACGGGCCGTGGCTGGGCGTCTCTGACGTGGAAGGGTCTCAGCCTGAAATGTTTGGAGTCAAAAAGTCCGAGAGTCCCCAGAAAGAATAGGGGAGTCCGATTTAAATAGCCCTTGAAATCTAGGTCCCCCAGTAGTCCCCTTTTACCCTTTTTTGCGGGAGGGTTCCCCCACTAAAATAGACTACAGACAACAGGGCACCCTTATTCTAACCTCTCAAATCTGGAGGACCTTGAAATGTTTGGAGTCTATTCTTTATCTGGACCCTTGGACTTGATAACTTTTGGACTTGACGTATATAACTGTTTGGTTGAAACAGGCCGGGACTTGCCAAGTTGAACCAACAAAAATCTAACCACACGATTTTTTTGCAGAGGGATCAACAGCAACCAAGAGGAGTCCTCTACTGAAAGTCGGAAGAAACGGGTTTCCTCCCTACTAGTGGTTGATTCCGGGACTTTTGCATGCGAATCATGGCAAGCCGAATCGAAGATGCGTCGAACTGTTTAAAAAGGGATCCACGTGAGAAGGGTCGCGAGTACCGGACAGAGTTTGCCCTAGGCTTCAACCCCCATGGAAAGAAGTGCAAAGATCCAATTCGCATGACGAAAACCCTTAGGTCAATAATTGTTTTTTGAAACCCCTTTAATTTAGGGGTGGGTTGATCCCCAGGGTTTGCCTTTAGAATTCCCTCCCTCTTTGGAGAACAGAACGTTTGACCTGGGCTTATTCTTTCGGGGACTCCAACTTGAGGTTGGGGTGCGTTCCGCCTAGACCCTGATACCAGATTCCGGATCTAAGGGCGCTCTACTGGCAAGGGGTGTTTCTCACCATTTTAGGCTCCCCTTAGTTTGAGGCTGACGGAAACATTTGCGCCCAGAATGAGACTTGAACTACTGCAACAAGATACAGTTGACGCACCCCGTGATTCTGGGTGCAACCCATTCAAAGACTCCGGTCGTGGCGCAAATGAATGCACCTACAAATCATCTTTAACTATCTCTGAGTCACTTCTGATATCTTCCACATTCACTTGAACTTCCCTTGAGTCATCTTGAACATCTTGAACTTCCTGAACTTATTGATAATCATCTTGAATATCTTGCATACCCATCATCTTGAACATCTTGATCATAATCCCAGACACCTTCATCTTGAACTCCCCGTAAGCCCTTTGATTGGCCACCACTCCCCACTCGGAGCTTCGACATTTTTGGCCAGGCCACTGCTCCCCACTCTGAGGGTGGGCGGGGACCTCAGATGCGACGTGTTTCTGCAACGAAGCCCTCCAAACAAATAAGCTCAGGTGATATCCCCAACAGCATGCGGTGCTCTTTTAGTTCTCGCACCACCCCGCAGCCCTCGCAGAACCTCGTGGAACCCTTGTGGAACCCTGGTGGAACCCTGGCCTGGTGGAACCCTGGTGGAACCCTCGTGGAACGTGACCTCAGGGCCGCCCCGGACTACCCCGGAGCCTATCTGGGCCCCAAAGCTTTCAGCTGTTGGAGAACTACGGAAAGGAAACCCAGGTCCAAGGCCAATCTAGGTGACCGGTATGAGGAGTGTGGTGTTTGTTTAGGGCCAAAACCGTGCGTCCCTTGATGTTTTGCCAAGTTTCAAGGAACCCCTGGGCTTGCGGGAGAAAAACAGTTGGTGGTTTGGATTCGGACTTGAACCCCGGCTTTGCGAGGGTAGATGGCAACTAGGGCTAAGGTGATGATGGGGAACATATGGGAACATGGGATCGACCTTCCGGCTTTGCCCGCGCGTGTTTTTTGAGGGTACCTTTCTGGGATGGAAAGGGAAACCCAAAGGAAAACAGGATTTGAGGGGGGGGGGAGGTCCCTATGTTGATGCATGCCTATTTGGAAACAAAATTCGTGGCAGGGGACGCCTTCGCAGGAGATGAATTTTGTTCTCCGGTTGCTTTTCTTTTTGACCGCTGGAATGCGTTTCTCGCATTCCTCTCTGTTTTCGGGAAGCGCAAACTGGTTTGCCATTGGTTTCTTGTATTGCAGTGAGAACCAGCGCGGACTTTGGCTTTCGCCATGGTCAGAAGGCTCAAAGCAAACCTGGGTCAGTCATGTCATTCGGCTTTTTTTGCTGCCCTGAGGTCTTTCCCAGAGTAGGGGGCCCCCTTTTTGGATAGGTTTAAATGGTAGCCGACCCCCTGCCCCTCCCCACCCCCCCACGTGCTGCTCAGGCGAGGCCAGTTCGACCCCAGCCACGACGCGCAGCTGGCGAATTTTTCGGTGTGTCGGACTGCTCGGTCTTTTTCTCGTAGCAAAGTGGCTTAGGCATTTGGAACCCCCCCCAAAGATCTGGCAGAGGAAGTTAAAACCAATGGGATCCCATTTTTGGGGTTTTCGTTGCACCACCCATTTTAGAACCTATTTTAGTGGGGATTGGGATGTTCACTGGGGGTACGATTTGGATTTTGACCCATGGCCATCTGGCAGAGGATGTCAGAGTGTTCAATTCTTATTCAGAGCCTGAAGGGGAGCCATGGGACGGTCATGACCCAATGGTCCTGAGTTGTATTCGCAAAGGTACGTATCCTTTTTAGGTTAGTTTGGCTAGGAGTAGATTCAAAAGGTCAATAATCACTCTGGGGGCTGCAATGGATCCCATTTGCTCAAGATTGTGTCTATTTCTCCCACCAGGGACCTCTCGAAAACACATAAGGCAGCCTGCCCTAAGCGCGCTCCGCACTCGGCAGCCGCTTCGGGCGCTGCTCTACTTCCATTGCCTTCATTCCATCCATGGCTTGCCTTTTCCACTTGTGGCTGATGAACGAGCTTTCCCCCCCCTGCTAGTGCAGAAAACCCTTTTCAAGGGAGGCGGTGTATCTTAGTGGAAAAGGCAAACCTTGATTCCATCCTCGCCCACTCACGTTGCCCAACCGCTGGACATGCGCGCCTTCGCGGGGGCTGACAAGCACGCTGGCGCAGCTGTGGCAGCTGATGCAGGCACCTCGTGAGGAATTGTTGCTCAGATCTTTTGGTGGACCTTGAAGCTTTCATGCAGGTACTCCGTGGTGTTGCAAGCAGGGCCTTCTCTCCCCCGACTGGAGAGAAGTGGAGGAGCTTGATGCAAAGGGCCGGAAGGTTGTCAGTGGCCGGCCTCGCTTTGCATTCTTTCTTGGAATAGATGGTCACGGCAGGTAAGTATATTATTTAAGGGCTGCCGCCCAGTGCCGCCGACCCCAGTTTGCGGTCAGGGAGCTCTTCAGACGGACAAATGTCAGCACAAAAAATCGTGTATGTATGTATGTATGTATGCATGTATGCATGTATGCATGCATGTATGTATGTATGTATGCATGTTTGTATGTTTGTATGTATGCATGCATGTATGTGTGTATGTATGTATGTATGTATGTATGTATGTATGTATGTATGTATGTATGTATGTATGTATGTATGTATGTATGTATGTATCTATCTATCTATGTATGTAATGTATGTATGTGTATGTATGTATGTATATGTATGTATGTATGTATGTATATGTATATGTATGTTGGGCTAAAGCGTTAACCGTAGGTGGTCGCTTGTCTTGACTCTTAATAAGTATCCACTTGGGCCACCATTTTGGCTCAAGTGGACCTTTTGATCTTTTGTCTTGTGATTTGAAATCTTTCTTTCCCCTACTCTCAAAGCCATGTACGCCCCCGCCTACGCTGGTGCCGCGGTAGCAGAGGCCAAGGCTAAGGCAAAGGCCTCCATGGCAAAGTACCTGGCGAGCCTCGTGAAGAGGGAGGAAGAAGGATGGACCGTTTTGGCTGCTGAGGTCCCTCAGGCACCTGACGAGCGTTTCTTCTCCAGCGCAGATGAGCTGGAGCAGGCCCCCCTTATCCCGGCCAAGCGCAAGGCAGAGGATGAGCCGATGGAAGATGCAGCCCCTGGGGTGGCGCAGGTGCCGAAGGCCCTGACACGCCCCCCAGGGGCGTTCCTGGAGCTCCTGAACCCGCCGGAGGAGGACGTGCCCATGGAGGAGCTCCTGGCGAAGGACGAGAAGGAGCTGCCGATGCCCAGGTCCCCCTCGGCTGCAGCCCGCTTGGAGGAGCCCGCCTGGATGCCCGGGCAGACGCCAAGTGGCAGAGGCGCCGGGAGCTGATGGCGAAGGTCAAGGAGCAGGCGTCCTCGGAGGAGGATGAGAACCCCGCAGCCCCCCCGCCGGGGGGGAGCGTGTTCACCAAGGCCCTCAAGGTCTCGGAGGGCCTCTACCAGTTCAGCGACGACCAGATGGCGGGCGACTTCCCTTGCTTCGATGCGACCACGGCCACTAGGCTCCGCCGACTGCAGGCCAAGGACGTCCAGCGGCTCCTGCGAGGCTTTGAGGGCCCCCAACTCAAGCAGGGGGGCCTGGAGCGCGTTGTGGAGGCCTTCTACATCGCCAAGATGAAGTACGAGCATGAGGCCCGGCTCAGCACCCCGGGACAGCAGGTTGGCAAGCGCGCTGGCTTGGGGTACGGGGGCCTGGAGAACCGCCCCCTGGGCAAGGTGCCCACATCCTGGATCTGCCCCTGCTGCACCATGCCCTGGGTGAAGAAGGGCGCCACGAAGTGCATGGGGTGCGGCAAGAAGACGGAGCCCATTGACACGGCGACCAACTCGGCCACCCTGGAGATGGCGGGCACGCATTGGCAGTTGACGGTGGATGACCAGGGCAATGCGGTCTGGACGGCGGCCCGGTCCGCGGGTGCCGAAGGCCCTGACACGGACCGGGCCCGCGACCTCAAGCTCAGTGCCTCGGTGGACGTCAGCGAGCTGGCCACCGACCCGATGGAGGCCCCCATTGCCAGGCGACAAGGAAGAGGGCCAGGAATGCAGAGCCTTCCACCCGTCTGCGGTGAAGGCCTTCAAGATTCAGACCCGGCTCAACGCCACCACCATCGCCCAGGAGGAGGCCAAGAAGGCGGACCAGGTGGAAGCGGTGGAGCGCTCCGCGGCGGTCCTCCACGAACTTCAAGGGGGGGCCATTGACGGAGGAGGTGATGGAGGCCTGCTCCTGAAGAACCTGGACTTGGACCTCTTCCGTGAGAAGCTGCTGGACAAGCTGGGTGCGGACTGGGGGAGACCCACACCGGAGCTCCTCCAGGCCCAGACCACTGCGGAGGAGGCGAAAGCGAAACACCAAGCCAGACAGGCGAAGGGCTCCCTCGAAACCAGAATGCTCGAGCCCATCGCGCCTCCCTTCAGTGCGTGGCCTAGTGAGGTCCGGGTCGCCATTGAGACTGGGGTCTTCGAGCCGACAACGGCATGGAGGGACTTCAGTATGGACGACCTCACATCCCACACGGACTCCTACCTTGAGGCCAAGGCGGTCATCTCGCTGGGTAGGAATCCCTTCCCGGCGGCCCTCCTGTCAGATCTGCCGGACCTGACAGGGATCCCCATGCCAAAGGCGGGGGGCTCTGGTGCGGCGCGCCCAGGTGCCGAGGGCCCTGACAGGCCGCCCACCATCCCCCCAGCCTCGGGCTCTGGCGCGACGAGCTCAGGTGCCGAGGGCCCTGACAAGCCGTCCGCCACCCCGGTGGGCCTGGACACCAAGGACCCGGAGGTGCAGCTCTCGGTCCTGCGCTGGATGATGAGCAAACGGGTCGGAGAGGTCCGTATCTTTGCGGGCCGCTGGGTCCGACGACCGGGCCCGGTACACGACCCGGATTGGGCGAAAAACCTCACCAAGGTGAATCCGGAGGCGTTGGAGAAGGGTACGCATCCCAGGAACCACCAGGTGGGTGGACTCCCCTGGGCCAGGTACTCCGTTGATGAGTTGCACCAGCAGGCGAAGGCGGGGGACCGACCCTACCTGGGGACCTGCGATCCATCTTTTGGGCTGGCCCCCACGATCCGGATGAGGACTTCCACTGGACGCGCTCTCGTTCTGGACACTCCCAGGCCTACTGGGGATGTTCGGGCACAGCTACACCCTGCGCCAGCTCTGGGGAGTCTGGGAGTCTCTGCCACTGCTGCAGGGCCCTAGGCAGCGGGGCCCGAAAAACAAGGCCCAGAATCAGACCCGCCTGGAGGGCTGGGAGACCCTGAAGGAGGACGCGCGGTGCTTCCTGAAGGAGGAGGGCCTTCCGTTTCCGCAGACAGGACCGGAGTGGCGATGGGTCTACCGGGCCATGGGCAAGGTCCTCGCGGCCCGGGCCTTCCTCACGGACACCCCGGCGGAGGTGATGCAGCTCCCGGTCCAGGACGTGGCGGACTCCACGGAGCAGATGATCCTGCGGGCGGTATGCGACGAGCGCATCTCGGTCCCGGTGGAGAGCCTCCAGCAGTTCCCAGAGGTGTACAAGGCCCTCATGGACCGCATTGGAGGCCCGGGGACCCTGGCGGAGGTGAAGGTCAACTGGCGCTGCAACACGAAGCAGTGGTGGGTCGGCGCAGTCCCCGACTCAGTGGCCCCCTCCATCTACCGCAAGCTCGGCTACACCAACGACATGATCAAGCTTATGGGCCTGGACCCCTCCGCCCCTGGGTGCCGGACAGGTGCCGATGGCCCTGACATCCGCCCCAGGGGAGGCGAGGGCGATGAGGGGATCGTTTACCCCCCCCTCACGGCGGACAACGTCCACGGCGTGGTGGGTAAGGACTACCGGAAGAAGAACTATCCGGTGGAGATGAAGCATGTCTTCTGGGCGCACATGGAGTGTGGCCTGGTCCTGAGCTCCGTCACCCCGTGGGAACTCATCCCGAAGACAAAAGGGGAGACCCGGGGGGCTACATGTGCAAGTATTGTAAGGGGTACTGGCGTGCCGGGGGAGGGGGCACCCGCCTCCTCCAGATCCGGGCCGGCAAGGCCATCTTGCAGCGGGTGTTGGACGAGCCGCCGGAGGGCCTCTACAACCGCTGGGTGAAGGAGCGGCTGGAGTACTACCGCCGGGTGGAGCCCTCGGCCCCGTTGCGGGACGTCTCCATCGTGGACCAGAAGGTGCCCAGGTTCAGATTCAGCCAGACCACCCAGACAGGCCACGTCTCCACTGCCATCTGGGAGCTGATTCTGCGGAATCCGGAGGCTGCTGCGCTCAAGCGCATCGATGACATCGCGAAGGGGGCCGCGTGAGGATGCGGGACAACGCCATCTTCCGGCACACCATCCAGGACCGCGGCCATCCGGAACGGATGCGCAGCGCAACCCGGGGGGGGACAGCTGCCGAAGGCGCTGATATCCCCCCCAGGGAACAGCGCAGGCCCAGACTTGCACCAGGCGAGGAAAATTG